GGCAGAGGCACCTAAAGCACACTGTAGCCTGCAAGATTGCTTTAGCATCCCCCAGCCGCGACGGTAGGGAAGCGCGCGAGACGTACCGACGAGAGGGAGGCATAGTCCAACCCAACTCGGGCCGAACGCCAGAGTTCACAGGCGCCCGGCCCGCGGCGCTAGCGAGCTGGCGCTGAACGTCTGATTTGAACCTCCGGCGCGCCTTCATCGCTCCGTAATACGAGTCGGGGCAAGTTGGAGTCGATGATTTCCATGACCCAACTTCCAAGCGAGAGTACGGGTATCTACCTCTTACACAAGACCTCGGTGTGCATACGGCCCGCTTTGCCAGTACTACCCCGTTACCGCACATCTTGCGCTCGCGGCGGCGGTCACGGCGGCGGCGGCCCGCACACAGAAAGTCTACGCGCAGAGCCGATTCATTTGAATATCCAGCCCGCGATCCGTTGGCGACGCTGTCCCGCACGCTGCTTATCCGTAGAAGGAGTGTGCCTGGGTTAACATTTTTAACAGGTTTATTAACATGGTTAATTAACCTAACCCTAACCCTACCGTTAATTAACGGCGTTAAAAGTAGCCAGAGCATTAATCACCGAGCCTTAGTTTGCGCTTTCTCGCAGTCGGCCGTTGCCGATAAGCTCACGTGCAGCTGCTCCAACCCTAGCCCAGGGTTCGCTCGCCCGCTCGATCGGCAGGAATTAACCGAGATATTGAGCTCATCGCCGCGCACAACGAGCACGAAGCCATGGTACGCCGAAATGCTGCCCGTTTCTTTTATGACGCCGTTTGACTGCGTGAGATAGCCTTCCCAAAAGACTTTCCGCACGAAGCGCATCCTCGCCAAGGCGTCGCGCCAGAACCGGTGCGTGCTCATTTTCCGAGGAGAAGAGGGTGGAGGATTGACCGTCGTTGTAGCCCCATTCCCCAGTGGTTCCGCTTGAAGACGGACACCAAGATCCAGGTGCGTAGTCCCATATTGAATGAAGAATGGTACTGATGATATCTTTTATAGTACAACGCCAAGCGCCGCCACTGGAGGCGCACCAAGCTCAACATCTAAGCGTGCTCATACGCCGCTCGGTGTTGCTGCGTTCGCACCCATACACTTGTTGGACGCCCGACTCGACATCATCGCTTGTGGGGTGGATGTAAGAGGTGCTTTGGGAGGGCCGTCGTTGCGCCTGGCCGGGGGTCAGCCATGCATGCATATGTATCATTTCCACGTCCGTTTCATATGACCCATCGAAAAACTCTTCGCATGCACGACCTTACCGGAGCGTGATGGGATATTGGAGGATACGCAGTCCCCTGAAGGTAGTGGTGCACCATGTTCAGGTGGTGACGTCCGCTTCGCGTCGTCGGGCTCGTCCAGTTCCTTGGGCCTCTGACCTGCGTCTCCTACGAAAGTGTCTCCGCCCTTCTGACCGCTCGCTCATCGTGAAGGCGACTGAATGGCGGTGTAAGTATCCCCGTGCTCATCGATGATGCTCGAAGGCCTCAGCGGCATCTCGTCTTCTTGCTTGGACAGGTGTTGAGGTTATTGTCATCGATTACCCGAGTTAGGAGTCGTAAGAGGATCTCTGCGGGCCCAGTAAGCGTGCATGCACGTCTTTTGGCAGATGCTAGACTTGTAATCGTTCTTACTGTGCGCGCTGACTGAGGCAAGCTCGAGTGCCGCGCAAGGACACTTATGCGCTCATTTCCTAGTCTCACTTCACCATGACTGAGATGACGCTGGACGCGCATATCTTTAGAACCTCGCAGATATAGGCTCGTGGGTCTTGCACACGAGGTGGGCAGTTCGTTTATTCTGATTGACACTGTCAAAAGCTGGCGAGTGATTGTCCCGGTCCATCCGCGAATAGTATATCCCATTCAGAACACTACTAAAGAGGTAATCTACTTCGATCCAGGGCCGCCGATACCGACATTAAAGATGGAGAGCAGAGCGAAGCAGCCATACAGCAAGCCGACGGGGTACGCGACAAGGAAGCGCTGGTCGGACATCTGCAGCACCGCGACGAAGATGCCCGATGCGGACCATGTACACCAGGCGATGGAGAGGGAGGAGAGGAAGTAGCCGAGGTAACCACTGTAGAGGACGTCAGCTGGAGGGAACGACGTGGACAGAGACGCGACACGTACTGCAGTTGTAGAGGGATGGATAGCAGGGCCACGGCGACCATGGGCAGGAGACAATACCCCAGGACAGACCCGGTACGGTATGCGTCGATGCCTTTCTGGGACATGAGATTGAGGAGGGTGTATATAGACATAGAACCTAGTAGGGCCAAGCCGTAGATGTACCCGAACTGAGGTTTCCCTGACTGTAAGAGCCATCAGTACACGTCCTCTCCAAACATAGACGCCGGGGGATATGAAGCAGACGCGCGCACGTGGCAAGCGCGCCGCGACGTGGAAGGCAGGAACACTCACGAAGAGCAAGCCCATCGCAAACAAGAAGCATATAATGATCGGCCCCGCCAAGTCAGCGTCGTCCATAATATTTGCGTCTACTCGTCCAAGCGGGTTGAGCACGGCCATGCTCTTCGCTCGTATGTGTCCAAAGTTGATCCCGAGCTCTGGTAAATCCCGAATAAACTCTCCGCGCACACGCATCTATCCGGATACGGACCTTCCAATAACGGAGGCTCGCCCTCGAATCCGCCAGTCCCAAATGCCGTCCACCAAGGTCCGACAGGCTGAATATAACCCTGTGCGCCGGGCTGCGTGGGGATCGCGCCGCCTGCGCCGACGCTGCCTGAGAGTCCCGTGCGCGAGTCGTAGAAGGACGAGTTCTCGTTGTAGAATTGCAGCGGCTCGGCTGGCTGGGCCGCGTAGCCGTAGCTCTGAGCTGGTGCCTGACCGTAGGAGGAGGACGGCTCTTGCCACATTGTGTTGGGTAGAAGGAAAGCGAGAGGCGGTGAAGTGAAAGTGAAGGTTTGGTTTAGAGCTTGAAGTGACTTGAATTGGAGTTGAAGGCAAGCACGCGCGCGAGACTTTTCGCGTCGTGTTGCTTGCTTTCTGCCGCCATGGTGCGCACCCTCTACCCACATCATCTTCTTGCTCTGTGATACTGACATTCAATCAAACGTATAAAGCCGCAGAACGAGTACATCGAAGAGCACATCAAGCGACATGGTCGCCGGCTCGATTACTTTGAGAAGAAGTGCGTCTCCCGTCCCCTTTCCTGACAAATAATTCTGACTTGCCCATCAGGCGCAAGAAGGAGGCACGTGCGGTGCACAAGTCCTCGGCTGTCGCACAGCAGGCCTTTGGTCTGAAGGCCAAGCTCTTGCACGCTAAGCGCCACAAGGAGAAGGTGCAGCTCAAGAAGACGCTCAAGGCACACGACGAGCGCAACGTCAAGCAGGCCGACTCCGAGGCTGTACCCGATGGCGCTCTGCCGACGTACCTGCTCGACCGTGAGGGGCAGAAGGACGCCAAAGCCCTGTCCAGCGCGCTCAAGCAGAAGAGGAAGGACAAGGCGGCGAAGTTTGCTGTGCCGTTGCCCAAAGTTCGGGGGATCGCTGAGGACGAGATGTTCAAGGTCATGCGGACAGGAAAGCAGAAGCAGAAGAGCTGGAAGAGGATGGTCACGAAGGCGACGTTTGTTGGGGAGGGCTTCACGAGGAAACCGGTGAAGATGGAGCGGTTCGTGAGGCCGATGGCGTTGCGCTACAAAAAGGCGAATGTCACACATCGTATGTCTCTTCACTTCTACATGCAAGTGCAATGCTAATGTCATTGCAGCGGACTTGAAGGCGACCTTCCAGCTCCAGATTCTTGGCGTCAAGAAGAACCCGCAGAGCCCAATGTACACCCAGCTTGGCGTCATGACCAAGGGAACGGTCATCGAGGTCAACGTTTCCGAGCTCGGTATGGTCACCGCTGGCGGCAAGGTCGTCTTCGGCAAGTACGCCCAGGTCACGAACAACCCCGAAAACGATGGCTGCATTAACGCCGTCCTGCGTGCGTATCTATTCTCCCTTCCGAGAGTCAAATACTGACGTCTGCTGTCCAGTTGTCTAGATGCTCTCTGCTTGCTTCAGGATCTCTTCTTTACTGTACCTTCTCATGCATCTGTATCCCTAGCACGCCACATCCCTATGTCCCCTGCGCTTGTCATTATAATACATGCTTTATGCGACCAAAAACGGAAGTCGGACCCGAACCCATCAACCGCGCCACACGGTGACTCTCGAAGGTTGAACTCACACTTCCACCTTCGCTCATTAACCAGACCTACAATGTCGCACTCACCCTCCCCAGCCCCTTCGGGCTCCCCAGCGCCCTCAGGGTCGCGACACAAAGCGACGCCAGTAGAGAAACAGCGTAGCCAGCTGGAGCGCTTGTTGAAAGACCCGTCGAAGCCTGCGTTCATTCCGGCCGCGCCCAAGGCGAAGGAGATCAGGCCGCCGAGGGATATGATGAAGAATGTGCAGGGCAGCAGTGCCGGCGCAGGTTCAGGAGAGTTCCATGTTTACAAGGCGAGCAGGAGGAGGGAGTATGAGCGGTTGAAGGCGTTGAGTGACGAGTCGCGTGCAGTACGTGGTATCGCTCCCACTACGGCATATAATATACAGGTGGCTAATAGTAATACAGGAGCAAGAGAAGGCTGAGTTTGAGGCGAAGAAGAGAGCGAGGGAGGAGGAGGCTGAGGCGAAGACAGCGAAGAACAGGGCGAAGCGGATGAAGAAGAAGGGCCGGGCGAAAGGAAATGGCAAAGACGGCGAGGGTCAAGCCGCTTCTGGAAACTCTGCCGGTACGGGTGGTGGTGGGAATGAGCCGCCGTTGAAGAAGAAGAGGATGGTCAATGGCGCGGTGGTCACGTTCAGGAAACCGGGCGAGGGGAGTGGGGACGAGAGCGACGGGGACGAGGGTGACGTCGGGCCGGCGCCACCAGCCGAGGTCTCGGTACATGAAGAGGCTTCGGGCGAAGCTGTACCGCAGGCTGAGGGAGCGAAGTTGACTATCATAGAGGACGAGTGAGGTGCGTAGTACATGCTTTCCCGAGAGATCTGTTCATTGTTCTGACACCTCGCAGGTAGTGTATGTTAGCTGTACATCACTATATTGCCGGACACCCGGCTCGTACTCGCTTGCCAGATGGGACATAAAATATCTTTACTTTGGCAATGTCTTCCGCATCAAGAAGCTCGGCGTCTGGAGCGTCCGCGCCTCGTGCTTCGCAGGTTTGATTTGATCTCAACTTTTACGCGCGTTTTGGACTTTTGCATCAATCCACCATGGCTACCCCAGAACCTATCGAGAACCCCGACTCTCCCATGCCCGATGCAACTTCAGACGACGACGACGACGATCAAGAGCTGATCGCTTTGGGTACTTCGCTCATCCAAGCTGTACTGGAGCGCAAATCGCGCGAAGACATCAAAACCATACTTGCCGCCGGCGCACCGACATGGTATCAGGATGACGATGGCTGGAGTGTGCTACATGCCGCAGCACAAGTTGAAGATGCTTCTATCATACCGTTGCTATTGGAGGAGGGCGCGCTGTGGAACTGCGGTGCGCCGGTTTAACATCTGTGGGGTGAAGGGATTATGAATCCGGTCTCATTTCCTCAGTCGACAATCTCGGCAATTCACCTGGGGACATTGCACTCAGTATGAACAATGAGGAGTGCTATACGGCTATACGCGACGCCGGCCTTCGTTCAGGTATATCTTCTTCTGCATTGCCAGACATCTAAGTACTTACATGCCCGCAGAGTTGACGCTTCAACTTCTTTCCGCGCATACAGCCGACATGCCCTCGGAACTCGTCTTCAAAGTCGAAGACGACAGCGCACTAGCATCGACAGATGCGTATCTTCAGTCGCAGTTGCGATATACGACAGATGGGTATGGCCAGGAGATCGTACTACTACGCGATCCTGACAACGGGATCGAGGTCGGCGTGATGATGGGGTGGGAGAAAGAGTTGAGTGCGTACTCGTTGTCAGATACGGGGAAGGGATGCTGAGAGCGGCCCTCGTGAAGTGCAGGAAAGCGTTAGAGCCTTATGTGCGGAACACCCGACGTTGAAAGCGGGAAAAGGGCTAAGGATATTGAATGTTGGCTTTGGACTGGGCATCGTACGCGACTACTACATCTTCTTCTGAGCTTCAGTGGTACTGACTTGAACCAGATCGACAGCTTATTTCAAGAGCTTAACCCTCCACCAGCAGAACACGTCATCATCGAACCGCATCCGGATGTATTGGCACATATGCGGGAGCGAGGCTGGTTCGAGAAGCCGGGCGTCAGGATACTCGAGGGGAAGTGGCAAGACTTTGTCGGGACTGATGCGTTGAAGGATGGAGGGTTTGATGTCGTCTATACGGATACGTTCTCGGAGGACTACGAAGCGCTACACAAGTTCTTCAAGCACGTCCCAAAGTTGCTTTCTGGTCCGGATGCAAGATTCGGGTTCTTCAATGGACTTGGCGCGACAAGTATGTCCTCTCTCACGCTAGCATGCTCTGCCTGTGCTGATGGTTGCTCAGATGCTGTGTTCTACGACGTGTATACAAGACTAGCGGCGCTGAACCTTGACGATTTAGGGTTAGAGACGGAGTACGAGGATGTTGACGTTGCGGAGAAGCAGGGTGTGGATCGGTGGGGGCGGACGAGAGAGTACTTCTCCATGCGACTGTATCGGATGCCTGTGTGCAGACTCAAGCCCGCTACTTCGTAGGCTCTACAGCCCTCTGCTATACGTACTACTCTTACCACGGGTTGTCATTGTAATCATGATGACTTGCTGTCCTCTACGAATCCAGCACCAAGTAGACCGCCCGCGTTGATATGTGTAGTACTATGTGGCTGATTCGCCTCCGGAAGCCACCCATTCTCGTCGAACTGCATGGATTTGCAATACGCAGATAGGCGATAGAGTTCACCGTGTCCTGTCACGACATATGAAAGTGTGGCGCCGAGTGATTGCACGTGTGGTGGATTTCCCAAACGCGGCGCACTCGCCGCCGCGTCTCGTCCGAACGCGAGCTGTCTCTCCACTACCACCGCGTGCCGACTACATGTCATGCACATACGCTACCATGGCCAGCGTCAGCATATCGTCGAATCCGTAAGCGCTCGGCGCACTCTACCTTAGTATATACGTTAATCACGAATACAGCTTGACAGGCTCTTGTACCAGCTACACGTCCTGTCCTTCTTCATGGCGCCATCACTGCTCTCCCTCTGCATCCGCCTCTTCGCCCAACTCCAGATATCACGACCGCGCACTGTCGACCCGAAGCGAACGTTACGCTTCTGGTACCTGGTCATCTTGCTCTTCAATATTGGCTCGGTATGGTCACACGCGATCAGCGGGGTACCGGAGGGACGGACGGTCATCCTCGACTTCATCGGCATGGGTATGTACATCAGACTCGGACTGGTTTGCAATCATATTGATAACACTATTATAGCCGTTGAGCCGTCGAAGGCGCAGCTCCTCTTCCTGGATTTCTCAATCATATTCCTTTCATTCATCCTCACCACCATCTCTTTCGAAACATCATACATCGCGGCCGCACCCGCAGGCTCGACCGACACTCTCGCACCCTCACTTTCACACCACAACGCCTACGAGCCGATACCAGCATCATCATCACATACATCACATTTCGCCGACACATTAGTACTCGAATTGACACTCGCCCACTTCGCGAAACACATCCGCAACCCGCCACCGCCTCACGACGACGAGCCCGAGGGAAGTCTGCTCCCATTACCAGCGACAAGTGCTGCGCTACCCCGGGCTTTGCGTGCCATGATGCAGGCGCGGGTGGCGCGCACACGGAGACAGACGCCGGGCCAGGGACAGACGCAAACAGCGGGGCAACCCTCGACAGGTGAACCGGCGCGAGCGCAGGGGGACGGTGCCGAAGCGAGGAGAGTGCCGGGCGCGATGGACGATCCGGACTGATTTGTTATTACACATATGTATGCGGATTATCTGTGGGTATTGCGGAATGATACGCGGACTGGCGGCATCGAGTGGCTTTGGTTGCATATATTTCACCAGTTTCTCTTCATCTTTATATACCAGACGAGGAGATGTTTTAATGATAATGTACGATGTTTGAGGGGGAGGGAGATGTACATACCGCATCGCGCATGCACCGGCCGAACTGCTCGAATTCGGCTTTGCAGATGTCCTTTTGGACGTCCGTGTACGTGGCGAGAATGCATTTCCCGTACGCGGTCGCTTGAGCGGCGCACGTCGTGGTGGACGCTTTCGCGAAGCGCTTGAGAGGGGTCAACGTCGCCGGCGCGACGCTTGTGCTTGGGCTCATGATGGCTGCGTGAAGTACGACGCGCTGTGGACGGCGTAGAGAGTGTTCGGGGAAGGAGACAGGGGCACTTGCGTCACGCGAAGCCCACGTTTGATCGCGACGCGGGTACGCGCTCAATGAACCGAGTGCGGAAAGCTTGCACAACGCTCTCACTCACCAGCAAAGGCGGCTTGCCGCGGTCTGGACGCGTCTTCTGCTCGACTAAATCAAAGGCTACACACATACTCCACCAGTAGCAAAAGATATCTCTTCATGGACTGTTGACACGCATCCTTGTGTCGCCCAGTTTGAACCATGGCCGCGCACGTTAACCCCCTCTTTACGGTCGTTGCGGGAATAGTCGCTATCGCTACTATCGCATATGTCTTCTTCTGGAACAGCTTCTTCGGCTCTCTACTCGGCTTTTTCATACGCGTAGCGTATTGGAACCAGGGCGAGAACAGTATATGGGTAGAGATCGGTGCGGTTTGCTCCCAGGATATAATGAGTGTGAAAGTTGACTAAAGTTTAAGGGTCTATACACTTCTCTCTTGTGGCGGGAAGGATTCTCTTTAAGGATGTCAAATATCACTCGAGCAACCAGACCATCAAGATTGTGAAGGGCCAAATCTCCTGGAGATACTGGATCCGGGCACCCGCGGACGAGAAGGAGTTTCAGATGCGCACGGAGGGTTCAGGTACTTTTTATTGGTTTACCAGTAATTGCTAATCCTTATCTTGACACAGGGAAGCAAAGTTTGCGGACCTCAACGTGCCGCATTCATCTGGCGCTCGACGGTCTCGAGTGGCGCATGTACAACCGAACCGCCGCCTTCGACTACATAGCGCAAAGGATGGAGGAGAAGCACCCGAACACACCACGTACGCCCCGTGGCACACCTCGCACAAGCATAGACGGTGCAACGTCTGCGCTTCGTAACGTCTTCAGCAAGCACTCTATGGATGCGGATACCGATGGCCCGGGCGATCCCACGTTCGGCTCAACTCCCTTCGCCTTGCCTGATAGACTGCGTCGCGCGGTTGACTGGATACGGGACCAACTACCGGACTTAGACCCGAAGAGTCTACTGCCTCTTAGCTTCTATGTCCGGAAGGGCATCATCACTTGCGGCAACATCTCGACGCCCTCGCTCTTGGTCGCAGAGTTTAGCACGGCTGATGGCGCATACGGGAACTTACATGTAAGAGCGCCCCAATGTGGTTCTTGCGTTACAACACTGATATGCTATAGTCTCGGTCACCGCTGGATCCGTACAAGCAGGTGCTGGACATCACCTTCGAGAAGGCCTCTCTCAACTTCATGGAGAACGAGTTCCACGACGAGCCGATGGCCGGCACGGGTGAACGCATTCATGATGAGCTCGAGACCCGTCACTCTTTGGCTATGCGCCCGGACCGATATCTCGTCTACCGCCTTTTCGCAAAGCTATGGCGCCACGCAAAGCTACAGCGTATCATCGCGCTCTATAGGCATGGACCGCGCGGACGACCCGCGAACGCGCATTCTCGCTTCCGGTTCAGGCGCGCAAAGAGCGTTGAGCAGGACACACCCGTCGGTATCGACTTCTCCACGTACGAGTACGCGCAGGAGCGCACGATTCTCGAGGCGCCTGTGTTATCGCTGTCTTATTACGTCGACGTTGTGGGACCTGTCCCGTGCGACCCTGCACCCTCGCACTCTGAGAACTTCGACATCGGCAACGGCGGCGACGCGCCCGAATGGGGTATCGACCTTGTCATCCACGGAGGGTTCGTGCGGTATGGCCCGTGGGCGGACAGGCAGAGGGCAGACCTGCAGAGGGCGTTCTTCCCGCCGACATATCAGAGCACAGAGCCTACGCCGAAGCTATCGCCAGGAGACAACAGGACGTGGACTGCGATGCGGATCTTCGTAGAGCTTAGGCAGGGCACGACAGTGTACATGCCGTTTCGAGAGCCGTCGAAGGATTGGCAATGGGACGGTCTATACCGTGGCCCACGACCACGTAGGCGAGAAGCGGCGTCACTCAGCATCAAGGCCGGAGACGACTCTACGATCAACTACCTCATGCCCATGGTCGCAGGCGCCGAAGGATTTCGTCCGCTTCTCGAGGTGCATCTGGACAGCGTCACCGTCAGCAGTAGTCTGAACGATATCCGCCTACTCACAGCGGAGTCGTGCCGGATTCAAGGAGACATGCACTCGCCGCTACAGTGGAACGCAAGCCGGGTGTGGCGCTTCGGCATCTCGCTGCGCCAGCCAATCCTGTTCTTGCTGCGCGATCACATCAATATGCTCACGGACCTTGGGAAGGATTGGACGACGGGCCCGCCGAGTGCCTATGCGACGTGGGTGCCGATGACCTATGCCGTCGACGTGGATATGCGAAACTACGAGCTCAACCTCTACGTCAACGATCACAACATCATCGACAAACCTCTTCTGCGCGAGGAGAACGGTGAGCGTCGCAGTTTGCAGAGCCGCTCGAGCTCGTACTGATGTGGACTGCCCAGCTATCATGACGCTTCGCGGCTCTGTTTTCAAGAACGACAACATCATACCCTCGGACAGATATCGCCCGCTCTCAACGACCATTCCATTCAACATTGAAGCGCCCAATGTTATGGTCAGCCTCACGCTTCCGAAGTGGAGCACGCACAGCCTGCTTGCATCCGAGCCTGTTGAGAAGATTGGTCGCTTTGGACGTCTACGACTTGAAGGATCGTATCAGTACTATGCTGACCGGCGTGTGGACAATATCGAGCGACTCAGGTTGCACTTCATTGTCCGTGGCTTCTTGTCAACTTCACTCCATCGTTCGCTAACATTGCCATAGACCGAGGGCTTGATCTTTAAGAGTCTCGGGTGGTCGATCCGATACTTTATGATACTTCAGGAGAACTACTTCGGCTCGTTCACGCACTTCTCGACGATACACGAGTACCTCGCCCGGCGAGAGAGTGGTCGTATTGGCGATCCCGTAGTTGACAAATACCGTCCAGGATCGGTGAGTACACTGTCCATAGCCTAAAATGATACACACACTGAGCGCTAGCTACAGTCGAACATGATGCAGGTTGAGCTGGAGGTCACTCTCGACAAGGGTCTCATGTACATGCCGGCGGGGATCGTCGGCTTCGAAACGTGCAACTTGGACAAAGGCCAGCTCATACAGGATGTCGATCTGGGGGGCGCTGTTGTGTACTCGATTCCCGAGTTGCAGATTGTACTCACGGTGAACGAGTTCGGGATGGGTATGGGTCATCGTATTTCTCTGCTATATACGCTCATATGTCTTCTTAGAGGTTGCGTTAAACTTCGGGACCGTCCATGCCAACGTGCTCGAGCACGTCACAGAGCGAGAGATCTACGCCACACCATCGCAGTGGCGCCCAACGTCAGAACAGCTGCACATAGACGGTCTCACAGTCGGCATCACCGCGCTCTATGGCCCGCAGCCTCTAACAGCATCATACATGTGGATGTGGGAAGTTCAGCTCGGGGAGATCAAGGGCTCGCTTTCCTCGGCAGACACTCGCACGTTTGGTGTTGCGTTTGGCTCGTTCTGGACGAATTTCAAGGACCCCTTTAACTCTCCCGCAGCGGACTACGCTATTCAATCGCGCCCCGATGGCAACTTCTACAAGATCTCCATCGCGGGTATCGACCTGATGTCTTCAGTTGGCGATGTCGCAATGCAGCTCTGTCTCCCCACTGGTCTTCGCTTCGACACAAATGATCTGGCAACCGACTCGTACAAGAGAGTGATCAGTATCCGGGTACCGGAGGCCGTCGTACGCTGCCTACGCCGGTGCGCTTCTCGGGACATATGGATAGAGGCTGGCGAGATTCGACTCGATGCTTTGCTTGACATGTACATGGCACCTCCGCATTGGCAAGAGGTCGCTGCGCACCAGGCAGAGTACATGGCAGAGCAGGACAGGGAAACAGGTAGACTCATCGGGATCGCGGAGACACCAGCGAAAAGATGGACCCCTGCGCCGAGTGAGTACAGGAGCAAGGACACTCATAGTCACGACTGACGCCAGTTCGACAGATCACTGCGTGTACACCACTCCTCTGAGGTTCCCCCGCCTACCCATCCCGAACAAGCCCCGTCGCCCGTCCATGACGTCATACGCTACCAACGGTGAAGCGCGAATGGTGCCTGGACGACCTGCGCCCCTCGCTCTTCGACAATCGTACCTCTCCGATTCAGACGAAGAAGCGGGCATGAAGGAGTCTGAACGAGATCTTCGTCTCGCGTAAGTCTCCCCAGAAACGCCAGTCCTCTCTCAGTACTAAGACAGCACCTACAGCAACTCGCGGCCGTCATCTTCCATGCCTGTCATCGTAACTGAGGACCATGAGTCTGATATTGGCGACGAGTCGGACGATGCTGATCTCAGTGACGGCTCAGAGAGCTACTGGTCCGAGCTTGAAGAGGATGCCAACCCGCTGGACGTCTTAACCCAACGTTATGCTGGTATCACCCGCAGATACGCAGCATCGGGATCTTCCCGCCCCTCACGTTGGGCAAAGTCCGCCTTTGTCCTGCTGAAGGAGCGCTCGGCAATGCACATCGGTGCGCCTCCGAAAGCAGAGCCCGAAGATGCCCATGATGCCTCGCCAGTGGACACGTGGCATGCTAGGGACGTTAGCGACGACTGTGGTCTGACGACAATGCGGGTGAAGGCGCGCTTCATAGAAGCATGGCTTAATCCACTCCTTCCCTCATCTGTCGCCGAGTTCATGGAAGCAGAGCCGAAGGTGTGTGGGTTCCAAATATCGCAACGTACCGCCTTTTGACAGCCCCTTAGCCAGCGTCGCCGGAATCGCGGCTTGATCAGTATCTCGATCGGCACATAGACACCGTTCTAGCACAGATGCAACCAAAGCGCGAGACGTCCACCGTTTTTGACGTTGATGTAGGCTCGTTAAAGCTCCGTCTCTACCAGTTCACGACGCCCTCGAAGACTTCCAGCCATTCACATCTCTCTCCGCAAGCAGCACCTTCAGTTTCCTCTAATCAAGCAATCACACTCGTTGAGCTCGCCACCACTAGTGTACGGGCGAAGGCGCAGACGTTCGGTGGGGCAGACGAGGATTCGAAACCTTCATTCGCGCTGCGTGCTCAAGAGAGCAGCATGTCCCTTGGCATCATGTCCGACCCCACTCTTCGTGCACGGCCGCATCATGTACTACGTTCTGTACTAGCCGGGACGCTTCACAACTTTACAGCCGCGTTGACTTCACACCGGGTTGCGGTATCTTGGAATACCATGGGCGTTAATCTGGAGCATAGCGTGGGGCACCATCTACTCGACGCCGTGGTCCCGTACCTTCAGCCCGTCCTCGACGCCGTCCAGGCGCTACCACGTGTCTCGCGACGAGACGAGCACTTGGCACAACGGCAGCTCTTCCGGATTCTTGAGTGGTCCTCTGAGCACCCCGTCGTGGACATGCTCTCGACCAATCAACCGTCGTATCTCGTTCAGACCGGTCGCCCGCAGGCCCTCCGCATCTCCCCCTTATCCAAACTATTCGTCCATCTGCGGGCATCGCTTGCCAGCATGAGCCTTGCAGAGCGTCGAGAGGTTGCTTCGGCTACCTCGACGGACGCGTTACCTCCTCGCGAGGATATGGCGGCATTACTCGATCATCAAATCGGACAGCTATTGGGTTTCAGTGGCGAGGCAGACATCTCCAGTACCGACTTGCTCGGCAGGTTGTTCTCATCTTGGTCATTGTCCGAACCTAGGCGGGACGAACCGGAGCTGCCGATCACTGCGGTGGACATCGTCTATAAGAGCTGCCGTCTCAGCATCTTAGACCCCAACGGCGGCACCGCCTGCCACGTCGGGACCACTGGTCTACGCGTTAGTGTCCAGATGATGCCAATGGATCTCCATCCCATCACTCCGAGCCGGAAAGCGGAACAGGGCAGGGTCGTCATGTATCGACATGCTGTCAGCGCAATCGGAATAAACGGCGTTGACGTGCTGGTCCTACCGCATTTACTGCACTTCATCCGGCGCTCGCTCTCGCTTCGTTCAAGAGTGGAAGACATTGTTGCGTCAGTCAGACCACCGTCGTCCACTGCATCTGCTGCATCCTCGAATCCTTCGTCGCCGGTCATAAGCCTAACTCGGCCAGCAACATCCCTGTACGGTGATTTCAGCTTCACGATGGGGACGATGCGCGTTCAAATTGCGGAGGAAAAGCTCGTGCTTGTGTACTCTGCGTCCCGCTTTGCTTTCGTCACAACTGCGTTGAAACGCCAGCCCACTCCAGGAAAGACGGAATTCTCAATCAATAGCTCTCTGCTCTTCGACAGCATCGCCCTGGCAGCACATTCCGTCACCACTCGCGGCGCGTCCATACGACCCCGTGACATGCTTGCCGAGTTCTCTATCTCCAAGAGCTCGTCAAATGTCGTATTCAGACACGAGGCACAGATGAGTCCTTCTATACGGGGGCTTATCAACCTTGGATCCATGCGGCTTTCGGTTCCACGCAGTGCCATTCGTCTTCTCAAGTTCGTCGAGGAATGGCGCGAGGATTACCTACCCGCCTTCGAGCAGACCATTGAGGCCATCCTGTCAGAAGCTCGTTCTAGTTCCAAGTCGCCGAAGTCGCCAACCCTACCATCACCGCCACCCCGTGCTCCTAGAGATGCTCTGCCCATTGTGCACATACAGCTCATCATACCTGTCGCCGGAGTCTCCCTTCACATCATGCCTGGCACGTGGCTCTCATGGGACGTACATGATCTGGTGTCGTATGCTCGTTCGACCGTCACGAGTACGCGCAAGGCATCGCGCACATTCGGCCTTCGGATCGCCACACAGCGCATTAGTGTCTCCTCGTCCGATGGGCCGAGCGGTAGTTCCCCTGCCGTCATGAAGCTGAAACTTGATCTGCCATCAATCACTTTCACCGGCTACTACGAGAAGCGTGGCATACATTTCCTTGCCTCTGTCGGCCTCTTCAATGCCACGGTCAAGCCGAAGCACTGGGATACCTTACTCGCCGTGCAGAAGAAGTTTGACAGCGACTTCGACGACCTTGTTCACGTGCTCGCGGATGTGCGGAGAAGACGACGTTCAGCGACTCCCTCGACTGCACCCCACCCTGATGCAAAGCCACAAGCTCCTGCCTTCGTGGTACATAGCGCCAGCGTGAAGTTGAAGGGATTCTGTATCGGTCTGGACGGTCAAACATCGACGATGCTGTTCGAGTGTCAAGACATTCACGGCGGGCTAGATTCCGGTACCATCAGGTCGTGGAACGTTTACGTGTCTGGACTCGCTTTATCGCTAGCGCCGCGTACCCTCAAGTCTCCGAGAGCAGCTCCGTTTGGTCGTCATCACCGCTCAGCTTTCCTAATCATTGACTTCAAGGTCGTCATGGGCGAGCAAGGCACCGGAGAAAAAGACGTCAGGGTAGTAGTGGATCGGATACACGGAGTCTTACAACCGAGTTCGATCGGTGAGATCGGTGACTTTGTGGACTACATACAGGTTCGTAGAGCCGGGTTTACATTGACATTGTTGCTGATCAGTGTTCAGGCTGAGGTGCTCGCTCGTCAAGAGGAGCGTGAGAGGGCGCTTTCGGGATTCAGGGAGAGAACGCGGGAGGTCATGCGCTCCTTCGATGTGAGGGGCAGGGATCGGAAAACGGAAGCCAGCCACGCTACAGACGACGACGGACCAATGGGCCTACCCAGCTGGCTACGAGAGTATTCCATCGACTTTACCATCAAGAACATTGGCGCTGCGTTCCCGCTTGCTCTCGACGGGAGTCTCGAGCTACCGCATTCTCGCAGCGCTCCGCAGTCGCATGTGAAGGCATTCTTATTCTCCATCAAGTCTGTGGCCTTCGGCGTTGAGCGCAATGGAAGCGGACTATTCAGGATGCAGTCGTTCTCTTTCCAGTTCGTCGATCGGTGAGATGCACGGTTCATGAAGTCGTTCGCCTACTCAGTGTGTCCTAGCTTCCGACAGTCGCATGCGAAGGACTTCTTAGGCGACAATCACAATACTCGGAATCGCATGCTCTATCCCGATATGACCGCCCAGATACGTAACGAAGTTTTGAGTTCATCCCGCCGTCTGCGCATCCAGGCGAACGTCAGCGGATTCATCTTGGACCTCGACTCCTCCATCGCAGACCATGTCTTTTCGCTTGTTGATGTCTACCGGCAGGGCAAAGAACGCTTGGATAGGCTGGCCGCGAATAACCCCCGCCCTTTGGCGACTGTGCCTTCAAAGCCGAAGATTGAGATGCCCGGTGGTGCAGAGGGTGGATTGCCGTCGTTCAACATACTCCTACACCTCGTCTTTCTCAGCGGTAAACTGCAGATGCACAGCGAGGCTATGAGATCATCGAGTCGTTCCACCGTGCACGAAGCTTTCGATCTACATTCGACTGCGCAACCGGAAGTCTTTTCTCTGCCTGTTCTCACCGTATGGGGAGAATATCGCGCGAGCAACTCGTCTTCACGCAAACGGACAGGCTCACTCGATGTCCAACCCTCCACGCTTGTATTCAAGAGCACTGTACACTCTAGCGAGAACACGCTGCGCCCGACTCTACTGCCGTTCATCTCGGAGCTTGTCAACAAAGTCGAAACACGACTTCGTCATGCCAACCAGACAGCGGCGCCTCGCATTCCCACCACGCCCGTCCTTGTCCCGAAAGATTTGACCACGGTCACCAACGCAATCGAGGACAGTCCCGCCTCTAGTCTGCAAATGACGTTCGCCTTACGCATCGACAAGTCCAAGTTGCAATTGACTTGCCAGCCGGACGTTAACGTAGTGGCAGGGATTCACTGGGATAGCGGCGGCTTTGTCGTGAACGTGTCATCAGGCGCGCGTCAGGTCTCCTTCATGGCCAACGTCAGCGGACTCACCGTCGGTCTGAAGCATGGCTTCCTTTCCGAGGACTGCGTGAGATTGGATGCGCGGAATCTCGCCTTCAGCATCACCTTCTCCCACCTTGCACCGCAGGGCGGTGAGCGGCTGAGCTACGTGTCTGTCGCCGTGGACACTGTGGTCTCCGGTGGCGTCAAATTCTCGCGCTTGCAGGACGTCCTGTGCTTCAAGGCCGTCTGGCTCGATCGTATTCCCGTCTTCAATCCTCAGGGCCCCACTACACCCAACACACCTGCGATATCTGACGATACGCTGGCGGCAACACGATTGAAGCTTCCTCGTAGCGCATCTCCTGGCGTGGCACGCTCCGGACAGGACCTCATCACCGCTATCATAGTACGGGTTCGCAGTATACAACTCGACGCGGATCTTGGACAAAGCATCAGTAACGTTCGCATGGATATGCGCGAGGTCGTCTTCCGCACGAAGCTTGCCGACAGCGCGAGCGAGTTCTCTCTCGATGTTGGGGAACTCAGTATCAACGCCGTCGGGAACCTTACCGGCAAAGCGAGGATGCCCGACTTTGTCTTCCGTACTGTGCGTCGCAAGAACCCGGAGAGGCACGTCCACGCGACGAAGATGCTCGAGCTGTCCTTGAAGAGCGGGACGCTGGAACTATCCCTAGAGTCGGACTATCAGAAGATACTGCAGCTCTGGTACGTGAAGGTTAACCTATTTTGCAACTTGATCCCGTTTAATCAGCTTCTAGGGCCCGCCCGTTGCACGCGTCTGTCCTGGACGACTGGTCACAGATGTCTCGAGGAGTACCGTTGCTTGAGCGTCTTCTTCAGCTTTCTTTCGCCGTATCTGGGGAGGAGATCGTACTCGTTTCAACTGTCACGACCATTCCCAAGCTAATGTCGTATGCGAACCGCTTCACGGCGAACTTGGCTGCGCAGCGCGAGGGCGCTATCCGCGAGTCCCGCGCCTTCCGGGCCGCCCAAGCGCCGAAGCCGGACAATCCACTCAGCGCGGTAGCCAATGCGATGTTACAACAGGCCCGAACAAAGTTCCGCGAGACGCCCGACGAGGGCAGCTCGTTCGCCCAACACGTGATCCAGCAGCGTATGCACTTCGAACTCAGCAGCCTTCGCTTGGTGGTCTTCCCACGTACAATGACAGACTTCGAGATGGCCCACTTTGCGATACGCGGAGTCACGGCGCAGCTCGAAACTGCGATTGAGTCTGCCTATCGCCCGGCTGTGCGCCGTCTGCATCTAGGCTTTGCCAGCATGTCGACAAGTCGCGTCTCACAGCTCAATCACACTACCGCAACGCTGGAGCTAGCCGCAGACGTCGCTGCTTGGTTGTCCTCTCTACGCAAGGGCGCGACGGAGAATACGATCTTCGACTTGCCAGCCATGGATATCAAGATGAACAGCGAGGAGCACACGCGGGACGGCGGGAGAAAGGTGTTGGAGTACGACTTCTTCTCCAAATTCGTGCGAGACATTCCTGCGCATCGAGATGTGCCTAAGGAGGGAGATTCGAAGATTATACGACCGAAGAAAGGCAAGGGCGACTCCCGTGACGGCGAAGATATCTTCATCACGCTGAACGTTGCGCTCTATTCGTGGTTGCAACAACTCCGCAAGAATCTCACGCGCGAGATGGAGCAGGTTCAAGGAGCCGCAGAACTTCGTGCTACAGCGACGCCAGGGAACAGCATGAGTAACGCGGGTCGTCGCCGCTCAACTATCACGGACAGTGGCCCGCCTCCTGAGCTTGGATTGCGTGGAAGCCTCAGTCCTACCACCCAACGTACTCGGTCTCCTCCACGAATGCCGAACTTGGCAACATCAAGCAGGCCGGCCTCGCTCTCCCCGCCAAGCCCCACACATTCCCAGAAGGAGCACAGGCGTGTCTTCTCGCTCACCTCGCTCACCTCGTGGAGCCCGCAAAGTCCACCACAGAGCCCGCCGAAGATCCAAACACAGTCGTCCGCAGATGCCAACAGGAACCTCCCGCCTCTCGATACGGGCGTGCTCGGCCCCGCATTCGATCTTGTTGCGTCGCCAGCGCCTAAGAGCGGCACGTCCACGGCCGCCTCACCGCCATCGCCGCTCAGTCAAGCGCCATCAACATCTTCGACGATCCCATCACCACTCAACGGCGCTCAGCCTTCGCAATCTGCAACAGGCGCGCTCGAATACCGTCACAAAGATCGGGTGATTGAGCGACTGAACATGCGGCAGCTGGGCGAGGCGACACCGGACGTGATGCATCCGTTCTTCATGAAGAAAGCTGGGTTCAGTCTGGAGGACTCGCTGCCGCAGTATGTGCATGAGTTCGCAACGGTGCCGGTTGAGAGTGTAATGCAGGCGTTGCTGAAGCTGTATAGCAAGCAGCTGGGAGAGGAGGGGCAAGAGGTTGCTTAGCGGATATGCCCGTTATTCGTCACTATATTTGGTTTTTCGTTATTGGTTCTCGGTGTTACTGCTATCTCAATGCTTTGATCTGTGCAGAGGACTCGGATTGGATACACGGCTACTCTACTGCCTTCGTAATTACATGCTGTCTTAGCTTATCAATATAATCTTTACGCCCAATCAGCGGATCGTTAAGGAGGTTGTGCCAACGCTGCTCGGCACGCCGCATACTTCTCGGTGGATTGCTCATTGAAGAACAGTCTCAATTCCCTGGAGTCTACGTTGATAGACCTGGCGATGGCTTCGATGACGACCCCCGAAGCAAGACGGCGTCTAGAACAAGTACTACTATTCCCACGCGCGACTAGAGCTATGGCCTTGTGACGGTGAACAGCCGCAGTCTTGCGGACCGACGGCCCAGCTAATACTAGATGTCGTGCCGTCCAGCACTGCTCCCGGAGGACTTGTCCCGTAGAGCTTCGGTAACTGGCTCCTGGCTAAGATCTTTGCGGCCAAGCAACAGTGCAGCTCAGCCGCAGTCGATGGGCGAGTGCGCTCTTGAGCTGTCTCGCCCTTTACGATTAAGCCTCGCTGCAGCCTGAGGCTCACCAGGGCAGCTTACAAGTTACAAGATGTCCGCGATGGGTAACCTCGGTAGCCTGTACCATTCGTTCACGCACACCTACAAGGTCGTATTGGCTCGGCCAGCATTGAACCTTACTATATTTATGTCTATGCACCTACGGGAGGTTGACGTTCTCGGATCGGCTTAGACGTGGCGATTCAAGGGCAGGAAGCCCATCGGGCATGGAAGTGTGAATTCAACCAATGACATGCCATTAGGGTATCGATCAGAGTATGTAGTACACAGAGCGGGGGAATACGACGGGCCGTGGCACCAAAGCAAACTCGGATACACGCCGATAAGTAGATAACATATGGTACAACAGAGCGGGGAGATCGACAGCGTCATGAGAGCATAGCACATAGCAAATATCAGGATCCAGCGGACCTGGACGGTCGTCGAGTAGAGGCAAGTGCGAACCCAGATCGAATCGCGGCGTAGTCGGTAGAGTCCAACCTAGTTGGCTCCACCGTCGGCCGGACTTTACGGGCGAGGGCGAGGCACGTAGCAGGGCGATCATGACGTAGTCGCCGCTGCCCAGTTCTCCTTGCGCGAGGCTACCTCGGCCACAGCACTATCCCACATCGCGCCGGTGCCACCCATCCGCGCGGTATCCTCCCACTGACGCACGGTGCTAACAGGCGCGGGCTCGACGACTAGCCTGCGCGCATTGTTTTCCTTCCCGAGCGCCCTGAGACGCTGCACCGCGCTCCGTTTCCGCGTCTTTCCGCCGGCGACTTGGACGAGGAGGACTTGTAGCGGAAGTTCGTCCAATACGCGGAGGAACGAAAGTAGGGCGTCGGGGATGTCGTCTGGTGCGCTCGGTATCGGCGTACAGGGTGATAGCACGACAGCGAAATGTGTCAGCGCTGGCCAGGCAGCCAACCGTGCGGGAGATAGCACGTCCCAGCTCTCGGCGTCTATGTGTAGACGCAGGTGTGTTGTGTAGGGCGACGCGAGCGCGGAGTCCCAGCGGCCGTCGCGGCAGGCGGACATGAGGAGGTGCTGCTCGCGCGCGGCGAGGGCAAGGGGCGGTTCACCGGCGAATTGAGTGGCGTACGAGGGCAGCGAGAAGCCGCATGCCAGACTCGGTACGCGGGCACATGCGTGCAGTATGCGGTGTACGGTGGGTATAGGGCCTGGCGCGATGAGGCCGAGGTGTTTGACGTGCGCGGCGAGGCGTGGTCGTTGTTCGAGTACGGCGGAGAAGGAGGATAGAGCAGATGCAGACTCGAGTACGACTGTCTCGTAAAGTGCTGGCTCAATCCATGATTTGACTGCACGGTTCACGCGCGTGAGAGTGGTAGAGGTCGCCAAGTCGCCCTCGGCGGCGAGCTCGAGTATATCACGGACGAGCTCGACAGGCAATGCAGCGAAGGGAGGCATTGTTCAGAACGCGTGAGAGAATTGGTAGTTGTGGCATGACTGGAGCCGCCGGTCTGCGCCTTTATACGAGAGGGGTGTGCTCCAAAGGATGCGTTTGAGGGCACGAAGCAAGTCGTCAAAGCAGGGCTTTCGAGGTACCGTCACCCGAGCGGCGTGGTACCCGACTATCGGTCCCCCAGATCACCGCGCGTCCATTGTTCGCTCTTTCCCTTTTGGGTACCACACCAACATTTTCTGGGTTCCCACGGGGTGGACTTGGCTTCATGATCCCGCCCGCCTCGCTGGCACGGTCGTCTCGGGGGTTGCGTTTGGATGCGTCTGGTACTTCGTTCAAGGCGATCCGTACCTCTCCGACGTCCGAGCAGGCTCAGGGCTCGAGTAGAGCGCTGTACTGGGACCGGCATATAATCGTACACAACAAGGAAAGCGGACGTCATTGCCAGAACTACGGCATCGCCGCTGCGGGTCCTGAAAAGCTTTCTCCGGCGCGACCGCATCTTGGGCCTGTGTTGCAAGGCATGTCGAGCTTATTTCCGCGTTTTCCACGGTTCCGTAATTTTATGCAGATATTCAGGACCGCTTCCATCTGGCCGAGCTTCCTTATCAGGTGCATAGACTTGACAAGGTATGTTTGAGTTGTGTCTCCGAGAGAAGTGAGCATACGAATCGACGGTCATCGCAGAACACGACAGGTGCTCTTCTGCTCGCCCGTACCTCACAACGCGCCAAAGAACTCGCACGAGACTTTCGTCAGCATAAGATACACAAGACGTATCATGCGCTTGTACTGAACGGCGAGAACCCCCTCGCACAAGGCGATCATGGCGAGGCAACGTTGTGGCACCATCTCGACGCCGATAACCGTCCACACTCGGTTTCCGCCGGCACGAAGGGCGCGCGAGAGGCTAAGACCCAATGGCGCGTATTGGGGCTCTCTGTGAGTGGCCTGCACAAGGCGTGGTTTGAAACCAGCTGACCGGCTGCGTATGATTTGAAGGAACACAGCCAGGTAGCGCTTCTGGAGCTCAAGCCGACGACGGGTTTCAAACACCAGCTACGCCTGGCTTGCGCCCATAAGCTCGGGAGTACGCTTGTTCTCTTTCACTTCACGACACAAGAACTCACAAGCTCCCAACATAGGGCCTATACTCGGAGACCTGCTTCACGGCCGCCTTCACCCCTTGACTACCGAAAGCTACCCGTTGAGCCACGATGATACTTCGCGAGGCGCCTCAGAATCTAACCCGGCGGCACACGACTACAAAGGGATGTTCCTACATGCCTCGCGCCTATCTGTCACGGTAAGCTCTTCCTATCTTCAGGCCTGACTACGAGAATACAACCGACCGACACCCTCTCGAAGCGCTTCCGCCGCACAGGACCTTCCAAACGACTACAGCTGACCATCGGTGCACCCTTGCCGCCCGAGTGGATAGCCTTTTGCAACTTCCTCGGCATTGAGCTTCCGCCAGAGCTCGTCGAAGGTGGTGTATGGGTTGATGGGCAGCGCGTTGCTGACGGGCGCGTACCGGAACTGGACGGGGAGTGGATCTGGTAACCCAATCTGCTAAAGAACTCGCAAGATCCTATCTTTTGCATTGCCTTCGTTGCATACACATACACTAGCCACAATAATCGATAAGAATACCCGTCACCCAATGATAACATCAACCGGAACCTAACTGCCCTCCTTCGCCTTCTCTTTGCTCGGCAACGCGTACGGAGCGCCCATCTGTGCATAACTCGGCGCTTCCCCCGCCTGTCCGACGGCTCCATTAGCCTGCGCCTTGTTAGCCTGCGTAAGCTCGGTCAACATCTCCGCCAAGCCGGTCATCTGCGCAGGCTGTAGGGCGGCGAGGTTGATCTCGAGATTGAGCAGCCGTCCGTTGTCGACGGTTCCGAGAAGGATGGCGGAGGGTGTAGGCGTAGCCGATGACGTGCTGCGTGGGGCAGGGTAGATGCCTAGTTGATTGAGACGCGGGAGGGAGGTCGCGGGGAGCTGGAGGGGGACAGGGCCCCGGGGCATGGCCATTGCATTCGTACTCGCGCTTGTACTTGCAGTAGGTTTCGCGCGAGGGGATGATGGTGTGACCACTACCGCCGGTGCAGCTGCAGCAGGCGTTGGTGTAGCGGGAGTCGAAGGCACAGGTGCAGTAGCCGAGGCAGATGCGGGCGTGGCGTAGTACGGCGTGGCATTCGTATTATAAGTCGGCGACATCTGGCCGTACGGGTACCGGTACGCCTGGTACGGATGGGTATATGCGCTCGATGGTGTGCTTGGTGTGGCAGGTGCAGCGCTACTTGGCGCAGCAGATGCAGCACGGGCTGTAGAAGACGCGCGTTTGTCCCTTTCTGCGCGCTCGGTGCGGTCGAGTTCGGCGCGGGCGGCGCGGAGTTCGTGATTTAGCGCCTGCATATCCGCCTTGTCGTCCTCCAGTCCCTTCGCTTCTAGCCAGTACGTCATTGCATCCGGTGCTTTGCGCTAGTATATAATATGAGGATAAGAAGAAAGCGGATAATTGAGCTGAACGAACTTTGCCCGGTTTCATGCGTGCCTTGCGAAAGCGCTCTTCGAGAGCACGTTTGCGCTTGTGGCATTCCAAAGCAAAACGAGTTTCTACGGATAGTATATATATGTCAGAGCAAATCTATGAGGAACACGATAGGGTAATCATACCTGCGAGCTCCTCTCTGGCCAGATCTGCCTCGCTCGCCCGACGCTTTCCCTTGCCGGCCTCGACCGGAAGTTGGAATATATGATACGGCAATAACCTTCGCACTACATCATGGGCATCAACAAATGCTGTCTCATAGTCTGGATCGACGGCGGTGCGCTGGTCGGCCACGAGTGCACCGACAGCGCTATCAACATTCAAGCTTGAGCGACAGGATCAAAGAGTAATAGTGGGCTGACGTGCCGGTTGAAAGCGCCATTCGCTAGTTCAAGATCTCTCTGCCCGAGCGGTATACCAGGAATATAACTTCTCGGCGTCCTGCCCTTATACACCGGCTGCTTCACAGGCGCAGGGGCCGGAGTGGCCGAGGGAGCCTTGCTGCTCGAAGCGCCGCCATTGGGCTCAACCGGCGACGCGAAATTCGGAGGATTCGAGTTTTGTACACGATGAGGTGTCGACGTGGGTGCGAAAGGCTGAGCGCTGCCGGACGCCATTCTTTTCGAGAGACTGTGTGTCGTTGCAAGCGCGGCGGTCACGAGCCGACAACGCGTTTTCCGAAATCAGCTCAATCGCGCGTCCAGGCCTTTTTCTTTCTTTTTCGAGTTTCAGACGGGATTTACTAAGCCATATATGGACCCATAATCGTACACGACCCCGTACTGCTACTTTTACTGGACAAGGTGCAGGGTGGCAGCATCGCGCGTATTTAGTCTTTGTAGACGTTGATTTTGCTCGTGAATGTCCCTCATCCGCCGTTGGTGTATCTCATGCACTATTCTCTTCATCAAGTCCGTCGCCGCGTCCGCGTGCTCCGAGTTGCTCTTCGCTACGCTCTCGGCCAGTGAACGGGCTGTCTCAAAATCGTCGCCGCCATGATAGAGGTGGTGCTTGGCAATGTATATGCATGAACGTGCGTACTCTGCCACGGGTTTGACTGTTGGGATAAGTCAGTCACAGTGACGAGAAAGGGCCAGAGGGACGTACGGGCTGCGGCAGATAGGTCGATGACGCGCATATGGTATGATGCGGCTTCGGCATATTGTCCCAAGTCGTCGTGCAGCTTCGCGATCTTGAGGTCTATCGTGACCTCGTTCGCATCTGCGCCTAGCAAAGCCCGCTTGAAGCATTCGATCGCCTCTTGTGGTCGGCCCATCTCTTCATAGCTCGCACCTTGCGCTTGCCATAAGCGAACATCGTATGGCCTGCAAAGCATGAGACGACGCTAGCTTGAGCATCAGACATTTGACATACCGTAGCGCAGTAGCATGTTGGTAGTAGTACAACGCATATTGATGCATGTTCAAAAGCTCATACGCCTGTCCCAGGCCATACCAGGCACGATAGTCTTTGCGGTTGCAGTCTGCATGCGTTTCATCAGCCAGGGGCGCAGGCAGGTCCGAGGACATGTCTTACCAACAGCGCGCCTATACGCCTCGATAGCCGCATGCGAATTCTTCATCTCGACATACTCATGGCCCATCAACGTCCAAGCGCTCAGATACGTTCTGTCGAGATCCGTTGCCCTCTTGAAGTACTTGATCGCTTTCTCATGTTCCGCTCTCAATGAGTAGTGGTTGCCGACGAGACAGCAAACTTCAGGGCGGTCTTTGTCGATAGCTAGGAAGTCGTGCGCGAGTTTCGAGAGTTGAAGGCGGTTCTCTGTTACGTAGAGGATGTTGGAATAGATGTCGATGTCATCAATTCGATATGGATCGCGCGCGAGGATCTTCTGGAATTGCTGTTCTGCCTGGCCAAAATCTGGACCAGTGAAGTCAGCACAGGCCCATGAGGGGATGCGGAGTAAGCAGCCATACCGTGCAAGTGGTACAAGACACATGCCCTGAGGCTCATGACCCACAGGCTATTCGGGAAGAAATCCGCCCCAACCAAACGATCACACAACCCCAGCTCATTGTCCGTCGGTTGATGCATCACATTGAGCGTACGTATTTGGAAGAGCTGTATCAGCGGGTGCGTTGAATGCACGGGGATCAATGGGAATATCCTCGACAACTGCTTGAGTTTCAGCATTGCAACCGGATACCCGCTGTCCACGGAGAACACACCTCTTCGGCATCCTTGATGAGATCGCTCATCAGAATCCAGACGGACCAATTCCACAAGTAAAGTTTGAGTGAGAGGATGCATTGTTCGAGTGCTTCAGCGCGGCGGCTCAATCGGGATAGTAGCAAAGCCTTCCTATGCATCTTCATTGGTCAGCCAAACACCCTCACACGCGGAAGCGTATCACCGTACAGGAAGAGCATCCACGGATCACTGTCCATCTTGAAACCCGTCAATGTTTCAAAGAGCTCTACGAGGTCCTTGTTCAGCGGTACCGCTGGCTGCATTCTTGTACCTGACACAATCAGACACTAGATGCCATGCACGACGTAGACCGCTTACCGTCAAGTTTGTTATGGTCCTGTATGGCACGCTTCTCACTGGCCTGCCCTGCGTTAGCACGCGCCACATTCTGGATGTAAGGTCGAGACGTACGAGGTACCGACTGTATACTGTCAAGAATCGACCTCTCGGCGTCTTACTCGTCTTCAAGATGTGACTGGCCCTTGCGAACTCCCGCGCCTGGAAACACGCCATTCCCTCCGCGAGTCTATCTTCCTCGTCCGTGTCCATTGCGAGATCAACGTCCCAGGGCGGCATTGCAAAGTCATTTCCTCCTAATATAGGTGTTGCCGTTGGGAGGCCCGGTGCAGGTATCGGTGGGGGACCCATTGTGCTTGGGGTGCTCATAATTGGCGGGCGGGCGGGCGTTGACGAGAGGAATGGTGGGCGGGAGACATGTTCCCGTCGTTTATGCGCCGGAGTTGATGCAAGAAGTTCAGCGGCCCTAAGACACAGCACTAGTCAGACTTCTATTCTCGTTTCTTGGGAGTCGCAGCCTGGGGCACCATTTCGCGGCAAAATGCAATCCGCGCTCTGAACAGCCCTTGACCGCACTCCGCAAGCCCTCAATCATGCTTTCATCCACAGCATTCACTTCGCCGCCGGACATATTTGCAAAGTCTTCTAGTCCCAAGTAAATTTTGTCCGGAGATACAAACGAGCAGTGAAAGTCCGGAGAGGAGCAGAAAGATGGTGGAGGTTAGGGTGAGAGCACCGGTGCGTTGCGATCTGTGCGCGCCGGACGCGTCGACGCGTCGAGCCACACGCGTCGCGCGGGTTTTGTCTCCGAACCACCATGACCATCACTCATCTCCGCCACATCCTATGACTATCTAGCGACATGCGATAGATCAAAATCATAGCGTCCCTTGTGCTGGCGCCTGACATACAACTAAGAAATAATAACGTCCTGAGCCGCGTATGCAAGCGTACACGGACACAACCGCCGAGCGCTTTGCAGCTGTGTAAAGCAAACACAAACTTTAAGCCTCGTATGCTCTCAGGAACTCTTGGACAATATGAGCTCTACCTCAACGGACCGCTATCTCTCTGTCGCGCACATGTGGATGTGCCATTCCGCCACGGTGCAAAATGAATACGCGGCTTAACCCTAGTTGGTATGTTCCACACAATGCATCATGCCGCAGTTTTCTCAACTCATGATGCAAACCTCTTTCATTCAGGTACTTTAGTCGCCCGACATTCGATTTAAGGTGTTCTATCTGCCTTCCTATGAGAACATGGTTTAATTGAAGGAAACTATGGGACAACGCTGAGGTCCCTGCTACCCGCTGTGCGGAAAGATTCGGCGTTCTCGGGCCAAGTATGCTTGTCGCGTTGTACTGTAGTTGTTGATATACTATAGAGTCGCGACCATCGAAGACGGATGGCTTCTTGTTCTCTCGGGCTCTCGGACTTTCCTGTACCCATTGGCGCTTCGGCGCTCTGCAAGTGCGCTGCCACGTTGCGGGGCCGAGATATGCGGTCCTCTGTCATGACATGGCTTGCGTCTCGGGTGATCCTTTGGACTGAGCCTGGCAGGAGCGCCCTTCGTGCATGAGAAGCGGCATCGTTCTCCCGATATTGCTCGGTACTCGGTACTTGCATGTTAACGCTCGCTAATTGCCGCGACTGTCGGCGCCGAGAGCACAGAAGCATATGTCAATGACACCCATATCAGTCGCGAGTTCGCCACAATGGTTCGGCCATACGGGTTTCGAACACTGATACCCCTGCGTGGTGCCGTACACGGACTTCCTAGACCTTCGGTCTATGTGGGTGGTCTGTACACATGCATCTGCGGCTGTTCGGACGACCTTAGGCTCATGTCGATCAAGCCGAGAAGGTCGCCGAGCTGGATGGCAGCGGCCACACGTTGGTAGGAGCATGTCGCGGCCGCCAGTCTTCAATAAAGCAGTACAAACCCCGCAGTGACGGGGAACTCCGATAACGCCTAAGACTCGCTTACGCGAAAGGATGATTCTTCTTTGGTGAGTTGGGTCAACCAATGAACGACGTCTCAACGATTAACCGCTGCTTCACCCCGTCATCAAGTCAGCTAGCGCTTGTGGGGGCTGTGGTTCTTACATGCATAACATTCTTCAAGCACGCTGATTCATGTGCATAATCGCGTAGGCTTTGTCATGCTGGTCCTGGGAAAGACTTATCAGGAGCTATCTGCAATGAGAAGACCGGCTCTTCAATTCATATATGGTGCTGTCTGCCTTAACTTTTCTGATGAGCTGGTTACATGCTACCGCTTCCTCCGCCGGTCTATGCGATTGAATACCGCGTCCAATCAGGGCACAAGGGGTATCTTGATCTTGACACAGCGTCTACACGGGAAACCTTGGGGTCGAGAACCGGAGAATCCAACTGTAATAGGCTCTGCGGGTACTTCAGGCAGTTCTTCCTTTCACCTTCCACGCGCCCTGAAATATCTCGTATCCTTGCAGCTTTTGGGGCAATATCAGAGCCGCAGTCGATGCTAGCACGCCATCCTTTGACAGGGGTGACAACGTGCATATGCGTCTCGTGCATATTGTTACCGCCTCGCCATGAAACGAAGCTATTTCACCAATGCGCGGCCACCTGTCTACGCCACAATATGCACGACACTCGATGAGCTACGGCAGCAATCATCGAAGATTTCTCATTTTGAATGACAGAGGTACCACGCGTCTCATGATTCAGGTAGAGACCTTATCCCGTCCCGCTATAAAGACCGCAAGATTTAAGGCCCTGCTATTAACACTGACCTCTATCCTCTTCCTCTCTGCGCGGATACTTCATATCTCATCCATACGCTACCAGAACCTAATGTCCGCTCGGCAGCTCCTCGAGATCAGACACCGCGGCTCTATACTCAGCGCCGCGTTTGGTCGTGATTTTGCACTCCAGCACGCTCTTGACCATGCCACCCACACATGGATAGCAGAACGCGCGACATCCTCCGATGGTTGGGGGACGTTGGAGGACTTCATCCAGGCCTCCTACCTCGATCTGAATGAGCGAGACCACATACCACGCGGCCTACCTGCGAACTCCATCCCATTCTTTTCCTGGGGCATTGTTGCCTTTGACGCCTACACATTCCAAGCGCGCAGCAGGAGCTGGTGGTACCTGCTTGACATGATTGCTCCCGATCCTACTCGGATCGTTCCTTCATCTCTCTTCGTCCCATACGCTGGAACGTCCGCTACACGAAGCGAAAGCGTGGTTCAGGGCTTCAAACGCAAAGCACTTTGGTTCGTCCGGCGCGACGGGGGCTTGGGTGTACCGGCGGAAGGCAGTCGTCCCTTGTTGTGGCATGGCGAGAAGGAGTTTCAGCGAAGTCCCTGGAGGAAAACAATGAAAATCAAGTTCAACGTGAGTGGATGTCCTGGGTTTCATCAGCCACTTCATTGAACATTGGCAAATTAGTGGCCCGGATACGACGGTTGGTGGGAAAAACAGATCCGTATGGACGCGGGAGATCGCTCTATTGGCCGACTGGCAAGCCTCGTAGCGAACAAAGTCCGCGATTTCATATACGTACGTTCATCATGTTCCCCGCTAATTTTTGGCGCCTCATGCAGCCCCAGGATCATGACCCAAGCGTCACTCACTCAGTGGGCACACAAGCACGCTGGAGGATAGGCAGTCAGGCAGGTAGGATATCGGCTTCCGACATACTGGTACTTGGCATACTGCTCGTCTCGGACGGTGCTGTGATGCCCATCCTGCAAGTGCGAGACAACTTCGGTATGGCCGATATCTTGCACTGTGTCGTTTACACGCTGATCAGTATTCCCAGTCTTCTATGCGTGAGTGTATGCGCTGCGTTAGTAGTGTCGAGTAACGACAGCAATAGCGACCGAAGCTCAGTGTGAGAGTTACATGTCATGTTGTCCTTGGTCTTTTGTGTGGACGCCGCCGGGTTGATTGCTGGCCGAAGTGCATGCTAGACAGAGTATACAGTAATAACTGCATGGAGTGCGCTTTTCATGAGCGTAGGTATATATTACAGGGTGATCATTCCGTGAGCGGAAGTGGTACGGAAACAAGAAGCATCCGCGAAGATTGAACCGCCTTCGCAGATCACAGACGGCGGAGCGCTCAACACTCAGTATGCACAGGATGCCCCATGTCAGGTCGAGTTTACCGAGATGCACTCTGATGCTCCACATGAAAGTTGAGAAGATGAATATGCCGGGAAGTACCGCCGTGCGTGCGGAAGGACCTCCGCATCTTGTTAAGGGCGATAGCTGCGATAGCATGCGTGGGTTACTCGGCGACGTAGCATGCGTGCGGTCGTGACCTGTGCTGGCGAGTATACACCATTCTTTCAAGTCAGATACGGTGCTATGGAGGGCGTGGGAGGCTTGAGCTCACTGTCAGCGATCGTAAGTCAGGCGCAAGATATGCAACTCAGTATGTACGCACCCCTTCGATTGTACACTCCGACCCCAAACCAGTCCTTCACCGCATTCCGCAAGCCGTCCGACGGCAGTATGTTCTACAGCATATGCCCTGCAGGTCGAGATTGCGACTGTATATGTGAGGACCGAGACCCCGCTTAGTGCCGAGATTGTGCAAGGAGCTCAGGCCCCAGGGATGCCCGGACTCTCGAAGAACAGACGCGAAAGATAATGGGGGTTGTGGGAAGTAGTAGTAGTAGTAGACCACCATCGGACCCTTAGTCGGTCCCGGCTGGATCCCGGCTAGCCCCTGTTCCCAGGCGCGACACGTTACACCGATCCTCCGCATCGAGACGAGAAGCGACGCGTTGCCGCATCAAACCCGCGCGCCTCGCGTTTTGTCGCTCGACCACCATCAGTGAACCTACGCTATTCCCGTCCCGTCTTTGCACAGAGTGAAGCGTACGCTAAACTGTACTCCGTACTCTACTGGACTGCGGCTTCAGTAGTTTGCCTTGTACTCTTAGCAAGTCGGCTTATGACCGCTGGACGCGTCGGTTGAGGACCCTCCCTTCCAAACCGCACTATGCCCGGGTTTCTTGTGCTGATATCGTCGGCGGCCATGGTTGCCTTCTTCGTCACTTCGTGGAGGTTCATTGCAGTATTTTCGCCGTCTAAAATGCATATAAGGCCTACTCCTCGAAGACCTGGCAAGACGTGCAGGCTTGCTGTGTTCTTGGGTTCAGGTTGATGTCGCTGTCTCGTGAAGAGAAACATGCTGAAGCAAGAATTTCTTAGGTGGACACACAAGTGAAATGCTAGCACTGGTGTCCGCGCTCGACTTCACTCGATATACACCTCGCACCTACATTGTCAGTGAGGGCGACACGCTCAGTGCGCAGAAGGCCGTCGAGCTCGAGAAGTCACGACATGACTCAGCCGAGGTCATTCTTTCTCTCGACGCAGCCTGCATCGATCTCACTCCTTTACAGTCTGACAAGAACGGGTCATCGTACATCCTCACTATCCCCCGAGCTCGACGCGTACATCAGAGTTTACTCACTACCCCGTTCAGTGCGTCGAAGACACTTCTAGGATCATTGCTTTATATGACCGTCCCTGCGCTGCGCCGAAGGTTCCAAGACGTACCAGAAGTGCTCTTGCTGAACGGACCGGGGACGTGCTTCGTTCTATGTGTTGCTGCGCTGATAAATCGCGTGAGTCAACTGTTTTATACGTGTTGTTGGCGTCTCAAAACCAAATATATCCGGATGTAGATGCTGGGTCTGCCGTCGCCGAGAATCATATATGTGGAGTCATTCGCTCGCGTCAAGTCTCTCTCCCTATCGGGCAAATTGCTACGTCCCATCGTAGATAGGCGAGTCGTCGGTAGTGGCCGAAAGTCTGGAAGTACTGATCTATTACCAGTTTCATCGTACAGTGGCCAGACGCTCTAACAGCCGGGGAACAAGGGGTTTGTCCCGGCTGGCTCGTCTGAGCGGGTCGTGATTCTTGTAGCCACGTAACAGCTAGCCTTCCGGCGCGGCGTGCTCACGGTTCGACCTATATGCGATTCACGTACTGAAAATGGAGTTCCGCTGAGATGGCAAGTTAGGACTCATGTTGCTAGATGTGCTCTTCAAAAGTAAGTTATAGCCTTTGCGTGCGAAGACCGGTGACCAAAGTATCTCCCCAGTATCCTCGACTCCCCTGTCGGCTTCATCGCCGAGCGGCCCGAAGTGTATCTACTTCTCATCTTCGCGGAGTACACCTCCGAGAACAAATCAATCTTCTTATATCGACTCGCAATTTGCCCTAACGTGGACCATCTGAGATCTCATGAGTGTGAGTGAATAGATGAACAGGCCCAGTATCCGGCTCATAGTCAGGTCTCCCGCCAGGGCGGGGCTAGTGTTCTCAATGAATGACATTCTGTACATTCCATGTTGAGAGCAGCCAAGAGTCAATCTTCTTGAGCTTCCAAGTTTCACCGAAGTGGCCGTGACTTGCTACGGTTGGGCTCCCGGTACGGCGATGAAGTGCTTGGGAACACCGGCATCACAGCTCCCTGCCTCTACTGGTACGCGACGGAGTGCGGAGCTCGTCGGTATTCTATGGTCTCAATCTCCGAATAGGAAGCGCCGAGCTCCGCTTAACAGACCTGTGGGGTTTGCGGCGCCGATAGCATCACAATGGCGATCTTGGGCGCTACTGTCCTTGAATGTGTTTCAGGACTTGATGTCTCCATGCAGCGACAGTTCTCTTGACTACTCACAGCTAGGCAGGGAGAATGGGCTGGTGACCATGTGAGCGGCGCTTTGTGGACCGCGTTACATGATAACGAAAGGGACTCGGAATGATCCTTGGTGAGAATTTTGTTGAGCTGGAAGGCTGTGATGTATACGGCACTAAGCGCTCTCTTCTAGTCTGACCCTCCAGATCGCCGAAAATACCACAGATACTCGTTCCACTCAAATACTGCGGAGGAGTTGAGATGATGGGGTGCGTGGACGCACAGTCATGGGGCCATGATGGTCTTCATCGTTTTAAACGCATTGCTAATATATATGCCTTTGCGCGTGTTCGATCGGCTTTCCCGAAAGCACTAGATGCCTTGATGAGACGTTGGTATCTCCATACCTAGATATGCCGGGGTGTGCAGACCGTTCCAAGTTCACACGTCTGGCTGTGTCTTTCTACTGACAGGTGAATTTCCTCTTAATAGTCTGATGTACCCGTTCAGCGCCTCACGGGCGTACAAGACTCTCGCTACATGCGGGCCGGCTAAGCTTCCATATATACGTCCTGTACGAGGTAACAGTTCCACCTTCCTAGCTCGGCAAAAAAGGGTTTTGTTGAAAGCATATCAACCGACATCTTCGGGCTGATCTTCTGGGAGCAGACTGCATTCTGACGCTGAAGTTGCGTGCACGTCGGGCTCTCCGAGCGCGGGAGTGCTCCAAGTACACATAGGTGTCGACACTGCGTTGTCTTCGTGTCCGATGCGCTGTTGATGTCTCTCCGCGCAGAGCAATTTGTATCCGGACCCTTGGTGTTGAACAACGCCATTGCCACAGCATCCTGTAGGACATCATCGTAACATCGATGGCAAATGCTGACGGCTCTATCATTCATGTGGTGGATGGCTCGGCTACAACTTGCCTCGAGTTGATGTCACACTGACATTGAATAGACTCTGTCTGCGCGACGGCGCCAATCGAAGTAGCACAACATCAGTCACTGCCCAGGAGTGACACACATCTCCAAGCCAACGACCGATTCCTGCTTCCCTACCGTTGATATAGGCGAGTCCCCTTTGTTCGCGTATATTAATGACATGCTTAACCACACTCCTCCCCGCACACAGTACAACTTCTCAATGGCAAGCCCCCAGAGCCTTTTTTCTGCCCGCCATCTCGTCGAAGAAAGACATCGCGCTTCAGTGCTCGGTGCCGCGTTCGGCCAGGACTTCGCTATCGAATATGCTCTCGACCACGCGCTCAATGCTTGGACAGCGGAGAGCAAGGCGTCTTCCAATATCTGGGCGAGCTTCGCCGACTTCATTCAAGCTTCATACGACGACCTCACTGAACCGGACCGCAGACCTCGTCTTTTGCCGCCCAATTCCGTGCCCTTCTTTGCGTGGAACACTTTCGTATTCGAAGCCTATACATTTATGGCGCCACGTAGTGCTACTTGGTGGTACATACTCGATATGACCACGCCTCGTCCAGCCAACATAATCCCGTCATCTCTCTTCATCCCATACGCAAATGCCGCACCTGTTCGCAGCGAAAACGCTCTCCAGGGATTCAAACGTACACCCCTTTGGTTCATCTGTCAAGACGGTGGTCTGGGCGTGCCTGTGGAGGGGAGGCGCCCCATGCTCTGGCATGGCAGTAAGGACTTCCGGCGCTTCGACGGGAGTTGGCGTATGACGGTCAAGCTTAAGTTCAGTGTACGTCTGTGTTCTGGAAGTTACTTGACCTCGCACTGACTTGCGCATATAAGTGGCCCGGGTATGATGGCAATTGGGAAAAGCAGATCCGACTGGAGAGCGAGAATGGAGATCGCTCGATTGATCGACTGGCGGGCCTTGTAGCGAACAAAGTTCGTGACTTCATCTACGTGCGTCCTATGATTCTGTACGGAGTTTTCCTCTCACGAGAGCCCCAGGCCCATGACCCAGACGTGAATCACTCTTTCGGCACTCATGCGCGATGGAGGATCGGTAGACGGCCCGGACAGATCTCCGCTCCGGATGTTCTTCTTCTCGGCATATTCCTTGTGTCAGATGGTTCAGCCATGCCCATCTTACAAGTACGCGAGGATTTTGGTGAGGCCGGGCTCCTATGAGCTATTGCTACATGCTCAACATCGCCTTGGGGGACTTCTTTCCAGTGTTCGCTTCCTGAGGTTAAGTGCAGTATCATCGCGTGCCATGCAATTTTCCATATACATTCATACGATGTGAGACTTGCGGTCCTACAGGTAGTGGCAAGACCACGGTAGCGATTAATGTCCTGTTCGGGCTCTTTACATGCGCTTAATTCAGTGATTTGAACATTGGAGAATGTTAGGGAATGTCACAAACAAGCTGTGTGCATCATGCAGGTGGTTGACCGGCGTCTGCATCATGGCGCTCTGAAGCCCGAAGAGTTAATGGGAGCGTCGCAGAAGCTCGGCGAGGGCCGTCGTGCCGTCGATCATATCACAGTCGGTTGGAGCAGTGTCATTCGACTCCAATTGCGCGGCAATAGAGTCAGAATGTCGTCAGTATCGATAGCCAGGTGATCGCAACATAGTCGCAAGAGGTCTGCATGCATCGCAGGTCCAGGGTTGGTTGATTCGGCTCGAGTGCTAGCCTAGGCTAGTTGTTGCATAGAATGATCTACTTCGTGAACTTGTCAGCGCACTTGCAGGACAACCGACCCTCGCGGACTCTCAGATCGCGGGGGTTCACACTGCTTGACGTCCGACACCTTGTGAATGGTGGCGGTAGATCATCTATCACGGAGATAGGAACAATGAAACAGACAGTCAGAGTCGAAGGGATGATCGCTGTTCCCACATGGACTGACGAAACCAAGGTACACGCTCCTGCAGCCTAGAACGAGACAATGGTTCAATATAGCCATCATTGCCTCTCGCCTTGGTTTTCAGCACAAATGAGATTAATTAGTCACGCGATGCAATCTGCTTATTTCACCCCTGAGAAGAGCAATGAGAACTCTACTGGATCGAGCAATAATGTAGATGTGGACATTGCATGAAGATAGACTTGCCCAAGTCTAAGTGTGCCAGCGACGTCTATCCGTGTGATTAATTAACGAATTCGATTAGCGGGAAGAAACATACGGAGTCACGACGATTCTCTTGTCCAGCGCCAACATCCCAGGCGTTACAAATCGAGGTAACTACCGATACAGATGAACCGTTCGTTGGTGAGGGGGAAATCATCGACAAAATAACTCACGATGCAGTTGACATACAGCCAATTTCGAGAGAAGCGCGCGGGGTACTCGGTCTGCAGTGGCAACCCCGCAATCGCGGCAAGCATGTAAAAACTACACAATTGTAAGCAACAAGAAACGGGCAAGGTGAACCGTTGTTACAGCAGTCCAGTCCGAAGTCACTACTTGCGAGTCCACCTGTCTTCGCCTGCATTTCCACCTGAACGTCCGGGACTCGCACTACGTCCACGTCCGCGCTGGCGCTGTCCGGGTTCCCAACCACCACCACCACCCGCAGTCTTGGGGGGGTTGACCTTGCGTTCAAGACGTTGGCCATGACGAAGTTGGCGAACGAGTTCCTTCGACGCGAGCCGGAGGTGCATGAAGTTGCAGAAGCCGCCACGGTTGCACTCGCCATTCTCGTTTTGCCTGCAACAAGCCTCGCGGAAGTCGGTGACAGGCGAGAGTTCGGCGTATAGCGGACGTCCTGAGTAGCATGTCAATATATAGGATATTCTGGGGAGGCCAAAAATGCATACCTGCATACCACCGATCGTTCAAGTTATCCACCGCCGCCTGTGCTTCCGTCTCCCATTCGTACCGCGCGTAAACGTTGCCAATCAGATGGTCACCGACGTTGTCGCAGACATGCAGTTCTAGAAGATGGCCAAACTTGGATAGTTCACAGTAAAGATCTTCATATACTGCATCAAAGCCCTCCTGCAGCTCCTTGTCGGAGAGTTTGCAAACAGGGTCGTTCTTCGGGTTGTGGTAGACGTTTGGTAGGAGAATGGTCTGGGAGAAGGGAGGACGAATGTGCTTGCGGGAGCAGCGATCGCCGTGTCGGCATGCACCAATCTGTAGGATATTAGTGATTAGGATGATATTGAAATACACGGCACTCGCACTACGCACCTTGTAGTAGAACGAACAGTTCACACGGTCCTGCTCAGTACCAAAAATATTCGCCTGCAAGACGCAGTCAGATAGAGCCCGTGACAACTAGTATGTAAATACGCACCAAATGGGAGGCCATGACTGTACGGGGTGGTGGTGGTTTGGGGGAGACGCGCGACGCGTTCTGCCCAGGTTCTGCTTTCCGAAGGCGCGTCTTCCATTTGGTGCTGACTAATCACCCGACGGCATGGCACTTTCCAGCAAGATCAAGTCGACGCTAGTATACAGATAAAATAGGCGCTACCAGACACTGTAACATGTACGCTACTGGAACACAGGCGCCCCTCGGACCATGCGATCAATGCTGGCACGGAAGTACTCGTTGTCGATCCCACGCTCTCGCGAGTCCATTCGTACCAGCGGGTTCCGTACCACGTACTCAATGAAGGGGCCGGTGTATATTTGGAAGAGCATAGCACGGAGACTGTCCTGATTCGGGTCCGAGAGCATGACAAATTTGTACCCTGAGACCGTCTCGAACATGTGCATCTTGTAAGCGCTCGTCCGGTACGCGACAAACTGCTCGTCCCTGTTCATGAACCATTCAGATACTGACGCCGGGAGTTTGTATATTGGACCCACCGGCCAGATAAGCGCTTTATCATGTTGCGAAGGGACAGGATGACTCCATACACCAGCTTCGCCTCCTCGTCGAACGGTAGCGCCGAACTCGTTGGCGCAGCTACAGGTGTTTGGGGAGTCTGTAACAGCGTGTGCGGCGCCTCGCGATGCTCTTGTAACCACGGCGGGATCGCACCACCGTCGTTAAGTGCAATGACCACACCCGAGTTACTCGCCAGGGTGTTGCGCGGGCTGTTGTATGGCGAGCCTGCTTCAGCTTGCTGTGCAGGCGGAGGCGCGGTCATCGCGCGAGATACGGCAGGAAGCAGGGAGCCATCTGCGGGCGCTGGCTTGGGCCTCTTCGTGCGATGCCAGTCCTGGTAGTAGACACAGTTACAGTGCCTGTGGTAGCCCGTACGTTGAGTATACACTTCATGCTCGTCGCAGAATTGCTGCAATTACCGGTCGTAGATGTACAGACTGAAGATGGTCATGGCGACGGTCAAGAAGAGTTGGGCTTCGAAGCTGCATGACTCTAGTCATTGCTCGTCTACGCGACGCGCGTACACTATAGGGAAGGACATACAGCCTATATGGTCGCACAGTGAAAGTACATCTTTAGGGCCAAATAAGACGGGAATAACCTGAACCGACAAGACTTATCAGGGGGCCATAGCATGTGTGGCCCTCTGATCGTTCCTGCTTACCTCTGCCGATCATCCTGCGAATGTTCAGCGCGATGGTCTTGGCTCACCTTCGCGACACCTCCCGGCGGCACTCACACCGGTGAGGCCTTCAGCGGCGGCGAGCGCTGGCGCGGGAATATCAGGCGCTATATCTCCCAAGCTTTCAAGAAGTGTGCGGCGTGGCTACAGATCCCGCAACTAGCTATATAGCGGAAGAAGAAATGATCTCCCGGTCTTCGTCTTCCGCCTCCGCGCCGAGATTCATATTGCTACAATCAGCTCTACAGGGGGCGTCGTGCCTTTCCTCTCCTTTGCACCGTCACTCGTTCGCTTCGCTTTGGCACGGGCCATGCCCCCTCGCAGTCTCCGGACGATTGTAATTCTTGTTGCGACCGCGCTTGTAGTCTTTCTTGTATCTTCTTACAGCCACAGGCACCTACCAGTCGAAGCCATCCAGCAACACCTTCCTTCCTTGTCACGTCTGCAAGTGCCGCACTTTGAGGTCCCACAACAACTACAATGGACCACACATGAATCCGACGAAACACCATCCTCCCCTTCACCGGCGCGGTATAACCTGTCCGATATCTGGTTCCCCCAGGTCGAGAAGACGGTAGAAGACCGATTATGGGTACCGAAGAACAACAAGGCTATGCGGGAGTTGCTGTCATGCATGCAGGAAGGAACATGTCGACCTAACCAGGTGCGTTACGGACGTCGTCAGAAGCCTATCAGTGATTGACTCTCCTTTGTAGGACAGAGGTACCTTGGTGTCTGAGCGAACCGGTGTATGTGGCTGACGCGCGTATCACCCAGTGGTCATTCTGGGATCTTGGTTCGTGCGCGATGCTCTATTGCCCACCAAATTCGCTGGGGAGCATGTTTGGTACGTTGACGTGTTCTTTCCTTCGCGAACGTCACTGACGACCGTTAAGGGCTCGTTCGATTGTAGGCCCCAGTCTACTTGATACCGAGGAAATGCGTCCTTCTTACGTTGCCCCTCAGATGACTGCGCTCGATAATTTAGGCTACACGTCCATCTTCGCAACCGATAATACCGACATCGGTGCGTGCTCTAGTGACTTCATACTGTATTCCATGCTTAGCGCAGCTCAGTGCGAATATACCAGATGTTCCCATCCCTCGTCGTAGCTGTTATCTATGAGCCCTTCGACTTGGACTGGTGTCTTGGAGACGAAAACTGCATCAAGTCAGACCGCAATCCCTGGGGCATACCTATATGGAAGGTCCTCCGTGTTGCCCGTTCCTTCTCTACTGTCGACTGATGCTCTTTCTTTCAGCTTTTGATGTTCACTTATTGGTCTCAGCCCAAAGGCCCTTTGGGCGCAAATTGGACGGTGAGAGACTCCGTCGGCTCTGACATGGCTACGCTCAACCGTAGGCCTCCGTACAGATAGTCCCGGAGCCGTACCACAAGTTGTCGCGCGGAGTGGCACGAAACACCTACATCGGCTACTCCATCGAGAACACATGCGGCCCACATGCATTCGTGCCCACAGAAGAGCGCTCGAACTCGGCGTACTTTCTCACAAAGAAAGCGCAATGGTTCTTCCAGAGCTGGCCGCTCGATTTCTACACGGCCGCAGCTGCGGCGACTGGCGTTGACTTCGTTATGGGCCTGCACGACGTGACAGCCCGCGATCCAGACCACCTGGACAAGGAGATCACGATGAAGGATATACCGTTTCCGCCCGGTACACGAGATCTGGGAGCACTGTCGCCGTCTGACTTCGTACGTCCAATGCGCATTTCGCCAAAGAGACTTGGTTCTGACTTGGATTTGAAGCTGTCTGAGCTCTCAAAGCACAAGCTTCTCATAGGTCTGGGCGCACCGGTAACGTACATACGACAACAACACCACGCGTGCGACACACGCTCACGGAATTACCCACAGATCACCCACTCCATACGAGGCACTATGCCTAGGCGTCCCCTTTATCAACCGGATACGGAACGTGAGCGGCTCATGACGCGTTTTATGCCGCAATCGAGCTCACAGTACCTGCGCAGTGGGATCGCACCAACCCGGACGATCGATACAGCTGGGATGCACAACATGAAGTACTGAAGTTCATGGACCCTCCATACGTCTACAACGTCTTTCGAGACGACAAAACTGGGTTCATTGACGCCATTCAGTCCGCCTTGCGTACACCTATCGAAGGGTATGGACGTCCTCATCGTCCGTTGCCGTTCGAGCTCTAACCAGTTGTTCCCAGATATGTACTCGCGGACATGCACATGAGTGCTGTAACGGCGCGGCTGCAAGCCGTTCTTGAGCGAGACCTATACGCCATGGCAAAAGAAGTTCTCGACAGAAGAAAATCGGGTGAGGAGGAGGATCCTGTGAGTGCCGTCGTCTCGATCCGATCCCGGCCGCGTCTGACTAGAGCTATCCATCCACAGTTGTTCACGCTCTAGCCTGTTCGGGCTACTATCTATCTACATAACATCCTACACTCTCCCTATAATTTATAAGCTCTCTTGCTAGTTGTCTGTATAACTAATGTGGATATGATCTTACTGGAAACGAATTGTCACTCAGTGACCCAAAGGGTGCACGCGCGTCGAGCCCGCGCCACAAGTGCCACGCGCGAGCTTCTCAGCCGCTGGAGCGACTTCGCCTCCATCCATCGACGTCATAGACGCATACATCCAGCCAGCGCACGTCAAGCCGTCTCCAGCGCTTATGCTACGCGTATAAACGCGTTCGCTTCTGGAGCATTCCTTCCCTCAACGACCACCACCGCCCACCCACTTTTATATCTCAAAGTTCAATTCAACACCATGTCACACGCTGAGCTCGACCCTTACACCGCCAAGGCGCAGAATGACGATGTCACGCCTCAGCAGAAGATCACCGGTGCGACCAGAGCATCGCTTGAGCTCGCCGTGACTGACGATGCGCTCGTAGACCTCCATGCCATCCTGAAGGCCGCGCCCACAGGCATGCTCACCTCTCGTGCTGCCGACGGTTCTCTTCACTCTCGCGCAATGGCGCCTGCCGGCCGTGTGTAGCTTCGCCCTATCCTGCGCGCGCACGCCTTCTGAAGCATGCCACCCCTAGCGTTCGAGCCTACACAGGTCAGCCTCGTCTTCATCGCCAACAAGGCGTCGTGGAAGATGGACGAGGTCGCCAATGACGCGCACGTCAACGCGAGTTTCTTCAACCCCTCCAGCACTGACTGGGCTAGCTACGCGGGTCAAGCGAAGATCATCACTGACAAAGAAGTCATCAAGAAGCATTGGAACCCGCTGTGCGTAGCATGTATTCTTCTCTGCGCTCGCATGACCCAACTGACTCGTGGCCAGGGTTGCGGCATGGTTCGGTGACCTCAAGGATGGCGTGCACAAGGGTGACGCAGAAGACCCACGCGTCATCGCCATTGAACTTGTACCCGACGAGATCCGCTACTGGGTCTCAACAAGCGGAAAGATCGCGCGCACTGTCGACGTTGCCGTTGGTGCTGTAACTGGCAAGACCTCCGCACCGGGCGAGCTTCGTACCATCACGAAGCAAGAGATCCAACTTACTCAGGGTCTGCACTCGAAGACATCGTGGATTGAACTTGCATCATTCAAATCACTGTACTTGTAATGACATCATGCATATGTAACATCTCTTTTGCGGCACTCAGGGGTTTGTCGCTAGTATGGCTACAGTATCGTGAGCAGCAACAGATGCGGTGTAATTGCCGCTGAAGTTTCCCAAGTTCTTCCCTGTCCACATGTCTTGCAGAACATAGCTGCCCAAGCCGAGGCCGGGTACATCGGCGAAGTTCACGGTATATGACGCTTTCGTATCGTTCAGATTCACGATGAACAAGTGTGTGCCCTTCGAGGAGGTACCGGCATAGAACGAGGGAGGCGATGTGGTGTCCGAGGTTGAAGACGTGAATGGTTTCGCAGGTTCGCCAACCGATGAGTCCTGATGGAATGCCAGCAATGCAGGATTGGAAACAATCGCGACTTGATCGCTAGAGAGTTTAGACAGCTGCAGGATGTACATGAGCGAATGTCCGTCGACAAGAACGACGGAGAGCTCACATCGGTTCCTAGCAAGATGGGAGATTTCATGAGGATCCAAGCTGCGAAGTGCGTCCGCTCTTCTTCGACGGTGAAGTTTCCGTTGCCGATCTCCATCATGTCCATATCGTTGTGAGCATAGAACGTGATAGCATCAAGATATCGCGCATTCTTCGTCATTATCTGAGTGATGTACGACCAATCCGGTTGCGCGTCATAATCCATCCGCCAGGAGTGTCCCTGCAACTAGTAAGACCACGGCCGGATGACACAGTGAGTGGACAGGGACTCACAACTTTCGCGCCCCACTCCCAGGGCTGAACATCACTGTCAGTAAGAAGGTCAGAGCTCAATATTCCATTGACTCACATCGTCAACACCCCATAGGCAAAGCGAGTACTGCACTGGAGTCTCATTTTCGGCGAGCGCTGCACCCATGATGCGATAGCGGATGGCCGTCTTCGAATTGTAGTAGTCATCTCCCTGATCCGGCGTATCCGACCAGTTCGATGGCACATTGCAGTTATCATACTTGAGGTCTGTTTCCATCATCAGCTCGAAGGACGCTCTACAAGTAGGCAAACCCACAGTCAATCCCCCACGAGTCATATACCGCCGCGTCGATGGTCTCGTATCCCAGTCCGCCGGGATAACCTCCGCACGTGGACGTTCCAGCGTCACTAGGGTCTCAATTAGCTGTGCGCTGTGCTAAATAGTCGTACACGGGCAAGTTGTACCTGTAGATGCCGATCTTGAGTCCCATGTTATGGATCGCATCCGCAACTGCAGCAATACCGTCGGGGAACTTATCGGGGTCTGGAACCTGCTGCTGTGTAGTCGCATCGCGAGACTCAAGCATCCAGCAATCCTACATTGTGGTGAGGATCCGATCTTGTTGCAGGATACGAGAACTGACATCGATATTCACGTACTCGTAACCGACGTCGGCCAGTCCGAGGTCGACAAAGGACTGTGCGGCTGCCAGGACCTTATCTGCGCTGATGTCTTGTTGACAGAATGAGCATGAGCTTACAGGTATGATGAAACCATATCTTTACCGCAGCCATAAGCGTTCCAACCGTTCCATCCCAAAGCAGGTAGCCTGCCAACGGCTTTCGACGGTGGAGTTGTTGGCGCCGGGATAGTGCTGGTGGTGGTTGAGCTTGAAGCACTTGTCGTGGCAGAAGAGACTGCAATAGACGCCGCGGATGAAGTCCGGAAGGTGGAGGACGGTGCGACGGCAGTCAGAAGAGATGCCGAGGGCGTTGTCAATGGGGTCGCAGCCTCGGCGTCTACTACAAGGCGCTCTTCTTCGAAGGTCGCATCTGGGATACTGTAGGAATAGTCGTCAGTGTCTCGGCAACATCAGCGAGCACGCACGTACCACTGGCTGTACTGGTCGTTCTGGTGAGTACAGGCGTATCTGATCTTTCATCAGCTCCTCCGGCCGAATGGTCGTCGAAACCTTCGCCTTACCCCGCAATGCATTCAGTGACACCCGTCCACTGCATACCCCCACACTGCGAGTAGCTGTCCGCGGGCCGTCCCACAGCGGACAGGGCGAGCCACAGGAAAGTGGGAGTACTGATTCTGATGCATCCCAACATGACTTTCGCCGTCAGAGAGTCGACGGTGAATGAGGATCATCGCGCTGGTCGTGCGCGCTTGCTCTTATATGAGAGGCGCGGGCTTCCTTAGGCGCCAGTGAGCACGCGCTCTGGGTCGGCTGGATTGGGCGACGTATGTCGCGCATGTCAGGTGCATCTGGCGTTGGGTTCGCTGAAGCAGGTTTGTGACGAGTGTGGGATAACTTGAACTTGGGCCCATTCTGTGTTCATTCTCGCGATACCGAGATTCAGTGACGGAGCGCAGAGGACGGCGAAGCCGCGAAAGCTGATGGTGGCGCCGCATGGCAATCAATTTCCGACCCATGGCTGTGCAAAACAACCATCGCACTCTACTTTTTCGGTCGAATTGGGCATGTCGGCGTTTTCGGGCCGAACATGTAAGCTCTCGCCTCGGAGGCCACTGAGATCTGTACCAAGGGCACATATATATCATACACGACGAAGTACACAGTAACTCGCATCCTTCTTATAGACAACTCAACCCGTTACCAGGATAGCGGCAGTATCGTGGGCCGCAATAGAAACGGTGTAGCTGTTAGTGAAACTGCCCAAGCTCTTGCCCGTCCACATGTCCTCCAGCGTGTAAGTGCCAGCTCCGAGGCCAGTAACATCCGCAAAGTCGACTGTGTACGATGTAGTTGCGCTGTTCAGGTTCACGACGAAGAAGTGCGTTCCCTTCGAAGACTTCCCGGCGTAGAAAGATGGAGGAGACGTCGGAGCGACGGTCGAAGAGGTGAAAGGCATGGCTGGCTCGCCAACCTTGGAGTCTTGATGGAAGTCTATGAGCGCTGCGTTCGTGATGATTGCCACTTGGTCCGAAGACAGAGCGGAAAGCTGTTTAGTACGCGTGAGCACACTTTGTTAGGCACGAAACTAGGAGAGACGTACATCCGTTCCGAGCAGGATGGGCGACTTCATGAAAGCCCAGGCTGCGAAGTGTGTCCGTTGCTCTTCAATTGTGAGATCGCCATTGCCAATCTCCATCATATCCATGTCATTGTGAGCACCAAATGTGACGTAGCTCAAGTACTGAGCGTTGGATGCCATGATCTGCGTGATGTATGACCACGAAGCGCTTGAATCACCTAACACTCATGAGAGTGAGCTGAGCATGAACAAGTAGTGAACGTACCCGACATTCGCCATGAGTGGCCCTATGACAGTAGCTTCAGTCAACAGAACTCCAGTGTGAGCATGAAGATACTCACAACTTTTGCCCCCCAAAGGTACGGCTGCCAATAATGTTAGTCTTCGTCTTGGGGTTAGATACTTGGACTCACACTATCCACTCCCCAAATGCATAGGGAGAATTGAACAGGTGTCTTATTGCCCGCAATAGCTGCGCCCATCTGACGATAACGAATCGCCGTGTTCGAGTTGTAGTAATCGTTGTTGGGAATGGGATAGGTATCCGACCAGTTCGATGGTACATTGCAATTGTCATATTTTAGATCTAGAAACCTTGTTAGCAGAGGGCGCGGCCTGATATTGACGTTGACTCGCAGTCGATACCCCACGAATCGTATGCAGCCGCGTCGATGGATTCATAACCGAGTCCTCCTGGGAATCCCGCGCACGTTGCCGTCCCGGCATCACTGATAATGTGACATAAGCGTATTGAACCATATAGAGCGATAGCGCGCACCTGTATATGCCAATCTTGAAGCCCATGTCGTGTACTTTGTCTGCGAGCGCAGCCATACCGTCAGGAAATTTGCTCGGGTCCGGGACTTGCTGCTTAGTGGTGGAATCACGAGCCATGAGCATCCAGCAATCCTGTTCTTGAATCAGTGAGAATGAAGAAGAGCGCGAGAGCCCATAGCGTACGTCGATGTTGAGATATTCGTAACCGACGTCGGCTAACCCGAGATCGATAAAAGACTGTGCCGCTGCAAGAACCTTATCCGCCGTGATCGCTACCCATTGCAGTCTCAGTAAGTACGTATGAATGCCCATGCTAGATATTCACCGCAGCCGTAGGCATTCCATCCGTTCCATCCAAGCGCGGGTAGCTGCCCGACAGCCTTCGAGGGGGGAGTTGTTGGAGCTGTGGCTGCTATACCCGTCAGCGTAGATGTACTGCTTGTTGGTGTGGAAGACGTTGTCGTCGTTGCTACGTGAGTGACAGTCGTGCCAGCTGCGGAACTTCCTGTTGATGTTGCCGCTTTGTTGCTTGTCGTGGACGTAACCTGGGTCGCGGTTCCCGGTATACTGTACAGGCATTTAGTGAAGTGGTCCCCATGTTCTAATCACTAGACATACCATTGACTATAATAATCATTCGAGTACGTGCAAACATATCTGTGTCTTGTCAGTCTAATCCCAACACCGACTTGTCCCGTCGCACCCAGAAACACAGGTGGAGGGTCCTGTCCAGCCTATACCACCGCATTGAGAGTAGGCTACGCCCTGACCCATCACAGGAGAAGCAAGTAGTCGTAGACCTAACACGATCAAGCCGAGTGATCTCGCCATAGCCTTCTTCGTGCGGTCGACGAGGGCGGACTGAGGGACATCGTAGCGTAGCCTCCAGTTATACAAGTACGGGAACTTCTTCGGTAGTGTGCCAACCCATGCTGTAGGTCTGCTGAATTGCGCGCGGGACATTCACGGAGAAGGCTCTACACTCGTCATGCCGAGGCAATTACACTCGGGCATGCCAGGGAATGGATACGCCAAACCTGGGTGGCTCAGTATACTGTTCTGGTGGAGACAAATATCCTCCTTGATAGTAGCCTGAGTAGCCGTGTCCAAGCGCTATGCTATTTGTGACTTGGGTATGCGATTGCGGGCCGAGTATCAGCGTGCCATGGTTGTCCAGACTCAGGTTCGGATTTTCTTCGAATCATTTCGGCAATGCTCGGATCTTCCACGTGAAACTCCGGCCCGGTCCGGCCCACCTCATGAGGTCCCTCCTGCGCACCTTGTCCCCGCCCTCAATCTATCACGACCACATGCGTGGCTTTTCATACGCCCCCTACAGGCCCTTTAGCTGCCCATCTGAAGTGGAGGTCCAATCTGCGTAAACCGTCGGCGCGCCCCTCCTCCATGACGAACGGCCCATCTACGTATGTTTTGGACTGAGACTAACCTTTAGGCCGTATGAAAATGTGGCTCCCAGCCTGTGTTCGGTACCACCATTTCATCTTCCATCATGAGCGACTCCGTCGGTCTATACTACTCTACGCCAGTTTCTGTCGCCCTTGCAAGCCGTAGCGGTACCGACGACAGCGGCACAACACCCCTTGAGGAGTATGTACCACAACCGTATGAGGATTGGGCTTCAACGCCCTCACGCACGCCCATTTCCCCTCCTCCGGGCCGCGGTCGCTCTATAAAGGCGCTTGTCCAGCGTTTTGAAGAGCTCGACGCGTCTGAGGATATACGGGTCTCGCGTCCCTCGGATGATGGAACTGGACTATACGCGCCGTTCTTCAAGCAACCTCGTAAAACATCGCCCCTTCGCCAATCCATTCGTAACTTCGTGTCGGTCTTCAAGAAAGCGAAACGGGAAAGGGACGAACCTGTCGCAACTCCTTATTCGGTCGTTGAAGAATACCCGATGCCAAATGAGGCGCCCGGGTCCGCGTTTTGCGCTTCTCCACCCACCTCTGGTGCCCTGCAGTCTGGCATCGTCCTTCATCTCTCTACCCCCAACGGATCCTCGGCGATTCTGCCTGTCTGGACTCAATATCATGCCGAGCTTCACGCAAAGCATCTACTTCTATCTTCCGACACGGCTTACGGCCTTCCTGTCTCAAAAGTCCTCTCACTTTCTGGCTGTCGTGATGTGTACTCTGTATCAAGCCGAGAAATGAGGGCCGAAGAGCAAGCTTTGATGCCGGCTCTCGGATCGACTGGGTCTCCTGTTGTGTTCGATCTTGCATTCGACGGCAAGGTTGAACGATTCGCTGTGGATACCGCCAAAGAACGAGCAACATGGGTACACACCATCCTGTATGTTCGACACCTTCCTGAGGCGTATCTCTCGCACTAACATCTTTCAGCACCAGCGTTCTCCGTAGTCCCATCGATGCCTTCACGCCGCCAGGCGATATCGAAGCGCATAGGCCTGTTTTATGGATCGAAACTACTGCCCATCTGACGTCTGGACTAGCCCAGGAGAGCTTAGGTGTCGAAGCACCGGCACAGCCGTCGTCCCTCCTACGCAGGGAGCGAGTCCAGCGCACAGAGCGTAACCTCCCCCCGTTGCCTCTCCAGAGCCCTGCATCCGCAGCGGGCGGCTCTCAGTGTGATAGACCGACCGATGCCCAACATGTTCCCGTTGCCCAGCTAGTCATGCCCGAGTCGCCTTTCTCGTCCCCTACGAAGGTCCCCATCAGTCCATCTGTAGTGAACTTGAGCCGACAATCGGTGGTACGGCGACGTCTCGCCGAGATGGAACAGCAAGTTTCCTCTACTTCTCAGCCATTCTCCGCAACATCGGCATCCGCAACATCGGCATCCGACTATACGGCATCACCCATGTCGCCTCACATGGGTACGCAACTGCGACTCGACTCTGGCTACCAGTCAAAGGGCGACTGTGGATCTCCATCTCAGAGTGGCCTGAGGTCAGGCCCACGGATGTCTGTCTCTCCTGCAAGTGATGTCATCGTTCCGACGTCGCCATTCAAGAAGAGGCATGCGCTACAGCAGCAGCGGACAGACCATCCGACACAATCTTCGCCTTCTCCTTGTCATGTATCGCCAAATGGGACCGCCGCCGGCACACTGTTGGAGATGATCAACGATGATCTCTCTAGAGAAGCCCTAGATGACGTCAAACAGAGTGTTGAGGTTGTGGCTAGCGGTGTAGGCGTCGTGCGTCGGACTTTGCAGGACGTTGCAAGCCGCAATATAGGGGATTCAAAGCTTCTCACAACTCTTGCTGGGCGTGTCGACGAGATCAGGAACTCTCTGCAGCAGCAGGCGGCAATGTCGCATGTCATGCATAACGAGAGACCCGCGGGCACTCCGGACGCGGGCTTAGCGCCAGTCCTACAGGAGATCAATCACAAGCTCGGCGCGGTCGCGGATGCATCTGTTGCAGCTGTGGGTTTCTACCATGTGACTGCATTCCTTCCGATATCTAAACTGTGTACCTACAGGAGATCCTCGACCTAGTTCGCGCTGGCGACGAGCACCGCTCTCTCCAAGCATCGCAAGGTGTCGAGAATGCTCGGTATCTCGCGGAACTGAACTCGGTATGTTTGCAGATAGGTGGATGTTTTTGTTCTCACGTCGTTTGTTAGTGGCTGGAAGCCTTCGTGAACCACGGTTCCTCGCATCTCCAAGGCATTTCCGACGCAGTGAACACCATAACGCAAGAGATTGGTCCCCTACCTGTTGATGAAACGTCAGACGACTTGCCTACTGCAGCTCGACCCACCGTGCTCAGCAGTCTTCAAGAGCTCATTTCACGCAGCCGGGCTCAAGAACAGGAGAACGCAACGCGGCGGGAAGAGCTTGATGCGCTCATCTCGGCTATGCATGAAGAGATGCGTCTGAATGCGGAGATGCGTAATGCATGTTGTGCGTACGCTAAACGCCCTTGGTGATGCTTATGTTCGCTGACCTTCACAAAGCTTCAGAGTCCGTGATGGAGTATATGGCGAAGCAACAAGAGGAGTACGGGACGATGCTCCGGGTAGTCTCCGACAGTGCGCTCTAATCGTTCATACACGATGTGCGCACCTGACTGATGTCCATTCAAAGCGCTCTTCGACGAAATTCGAGGTGAGCGCTTGCGATTCGTCGATGCGATGCAAGAGGCCACTGCCATCAATGTCCACCGTAAGCCCCTGGTCATGACATATCTCCTGATATGATGCACTTAACACACGCATAGGGCACGTTGACGACTTGAAGGGAGAACTCGCACGAGAGATAGCTACTATGACGAAGCGCGTGGCGTATCTCCAGAGGACTAGCCACGAATGGGAGGCACGAATCGCCGACCTCCTCACCTTCTACAACAAGCAAGGGGGCCCACAGTCGCAATCAGTCCAGGCAAGTGGTGGTGTAATGGATGAAAGTTGGATGTTGCTCACTCTGCTTCAGCAGCAGACTCCCGTCTCGCAGGAACCCGTACGTCCCGCAAAACTGGACATGCCTCGCGCTGAACGAATGCGCAAAACAGGCACCAGGGGGAGCCGTGTAGGTGCCCTAACGTTATTCACTGCGTGGTTCTCAATGTTCTCTTACAGGTATCCAAATTGTCGCCTATCGAGGAGCGCTCGCCCATTGACGTTCGACCAAAGCCAACCTCTAGTCATCGCGGTAACTTGTCACCAGGTGACGACATTGCGTCAACGCCTTCGCGCCGCCGCCCTCTACCTCTTGCGCCTGGCGGGTTTCCAGGATATGACCAGTGAAGGGTATAACTTGAGTAGTGTGTCTGATTATGGAGAGATAGGATATGGATAAGAGTACAAGCATAAGTAAGCTAGAAACCTGGTATAAAGACTCTAATGTTCGATCTTGATGCCCATACTGTAGTTGTCGGGTGAAATAACGCGCGCTGTGGCAACCATACGGAAACCCATTGGTTCTACTGTGTGTTCGTAGTAGTCTTGTATGTCGGAGCCTTGCATGACGAGAATATCGCCCTAAAATGCGTGGTTAGCGTAGGAGGTGGGCTGATTGTTGAAATGCCGCTTACATGCTTGAGCACCAAAGTGAGAACGGGGCAGGCCTTTGGGACGTCGTCGTCAGTGATATTGTGCTTTGAGCGACGGAAGTACATATGCGAGGTAGAGCCCAGGGAGAGCGATGCGACCACTGGCCCAAGGCCCCTTTCTGCGTCGGCGTGCCACTGTCACATGATGAGAAGGTTGACTGAGGACAGGTAGAAGGCCAACAACTCACAGCCATCCGTTGATCCTCCATATACGCAACGCTCATGATCTCGTTGAAAGGCACGTACTCGCCCGTAACAACTTCGACTCGACTTCTAATTAGGTCTACAGCGTCTGACACCGCGCTCGAACCGCCCTCACCAAGGGGAAGAGTATAATCTGAGCCGCCAATATACTATAGAAGGGGGGTTGAGCGGCGCGCTCATCATCAAACCAGCATGTAAGCAAACCTACATTGTATGGTGCCCCACTATTCTGGGAGAAATATCCGGTTAACAAGGTACCACGACCTGTATGCGAGGATGAGTTTTGTTAGAGCGACTGTGCTTATAGGAGCCGCGCACATTGGTGCTACAAGCATGACAAAATCAGTACGACAATCAGATCTGGAAGAAGTGTATGCACTCACAGCTCGAAGCGGGAACCGGCGGAAGTCCAATTGTCCCGACGCCGCTTGTTCTTGGTATGCACGGAATATTTCGTTCGCCTTTCGGTTCGATCGAGGAGCACTCCGTATCCTATGGATTTGACCGCGACCGTGAGGGAGTATATATGTCGTGACCATGAAGATTTCTCCTGTCTTGCTCTGCATCACGATCTCCGGCTGAGCAACGATTTCTGAGAGGTGGAGGGTGGAATTAGCGGAATGGAAATATCTGTAAACCAATCAACGCTCACTGGGGTCATAAACGTCGTCTGCGTCCTCGACAATGTCAGTCTGGGTCCAGAATTCGCGCGGTGTTCTGACGCCTGCTTTGATTTGGATGGTTTTCTGCAGCGATATTTAGCGCTGAGAGCGAATCGAGACAATGTTCGACGTACCTTGCAGGTGGCGTTGCCGCACTCGTAAAGACTCCATCTGAAACGGCAAGAGAGACGGCCGCACTTTCTACAGTGCATACCTCTTGAGTAACGATTGGAAGTGATAACTGCGGTCGTGCCACCGGTGGGAGGCGGCGGCGGCAAAAGCCATTCCCAGTCGATGATAACGTCCACAGGCTGCATCTGTAGAGCCGTGAAGGACGGGTCAAACGTGAGGCTATTTAATGAACACGGGTTGCCATCGATAGTCCAGAATGTTCTGCACCCGGGGTTTAGGCAAATCCAACCGATGTTGTAAACTTGTACGGAGTCCATCGCACATATGGCGCATCGCTGGCTGGTGTGCGTTTGCGCTGAAAGACGCAGTCTAGAGTACAGCTCAGGAGCGATATAGAAACGATAGTGGGGTGTGCGCACATTGGATCATCCTTTGATGAAGGGCTGTTCTCGGTGGCGTCTTCAATGGGAACAGAGTCGATGGGGTGAGTCGGCGCTAGTGTAGGATCCAGAGATGCTGTGGGCACTGGGCTCCAAGTGAGCGCAAGGTCACTCATTCAAGCACGTAGACGTACCGTCGACTGCAGGATCTGCCGGTATCCACCACGGAACCCCCTGGTTACTACACCATTGAAACGAGACTTTGTAACGAATGATCTTGTCTCCGTTCTCGCGTACGCCGTCGCATTCGGCTAGTATCCCGACGTCAGCACAGTAGTGTACAGGGCGGAGGATTCCAGACATACCCCAAACGTTCGTGACCCAATAGTACCCGAGCACGATGTAAACATATCCCTCCGCTGCAAGGTTGTAGGGGAATAGAGCGTAATGGTCGTCCGCCAGTAAGACTACGGGATAGCGGTTCTTCCAATTGTTCATCAGCGCCCGGACCGAGTTATCCTCGAGATGCTGGTCGCCGGTTTCCAAGTGTTTGTGAAGTGCCCGCTTCCGATGGTTATAGGATGCTTCGGGTTTGCCCCCTCCCCTTCAGAGACGCTTGGTCATATAGCCATCAGAGTCACACAGAGAACGTACCCGTGGGAGATGATCAACCGACCACCATGTTCAAAGGCGTCCCGCCTGGATAAATTGGTCAGGTCAGGCGAAGAGACTGTAATAGCGCGAGACGGCGACATACTTCGACGGAAATCCACCCAATAAGTACCCGTAAACCTGGTCCTTATTATAGTAGACGCCGCTTTGATAGGCTCTGAAGTAGTCGGCGTTCTCACATACTTCCTGGCGAGACTACAATGACTAGTCAGCACGGTTGTGCGATCAAATGAAGTTGAAGACGAGCGAACCTGTGCCCAGATAGGTGGAATAATCTTGTACTCTCCCAATGCCGGCCTTCTAGGTACATGGCCCGAGGAGGGTACCTGCGCAAGTGGCGCACCCTGATGTAAAGCATTGGCTGGTACCTCCACGGGTGCCATCGTCGGAGTGACGGCAGGTTTAATATCAACCTCGGGATCTGGCGTGAAGTGCCGGAGACTCGGGTCGTCCAGGGAGATGCTCTCCTGCGGCTCGGCCTTGATTGACGGGAGGCCCGGAAAGGATTGGAGTAAGGAGGGGTGGAGGGGATACAGCGGAGGCCACATAGGCTGACTGTGCAGATTGCGATCCAAGGCCGTCGTAGGTGGTTCAGAGTTAGGAGCCTGAGGCGAACGTATGGCTCCCGGTGATGCTCTGCGTGATGATTCGTGTTGAAGTATGGGAGAACCTGGGGGCAACGGCTCGCGAGCCCGAGTTGTGTCGTCCAACCATCCGACAGGAACAACAGGAAAGGCCGTTGCGTTCTGCGAATAACTGGCGTCAATCTCCTCCGGACTTTCGGGAGCAGGCTCAACATGCGCCATGGATAGAGGGACAGGTTCCTTCTCGCCAGTTGCATCCATCCCATGAGGAAGCATCTGAGCAGGACTGTGTATGGCATTCGCTTGCGACGTCGGCTTGGAATCGTCTACGGCAGCAGCGATAGCTTCATTGTGCGTGGATGCGTCAGGGCCTCCTGTGCGACGCCGTTTGACAGAGATTATGGCATCTCGTGGAAGAGCGACAGTCATAGTGTCGTTGGGCGTCGCATCCGAGGGAGAAGCTACAGTGGGTCCACTCATGGCATCGGGCTTGGCTTGATTCTTCAGACGGCGTTTCCTCTTCTGCGCCGTTCTTCGACCCGATGAAGGCGCATTACTGCTGCGGGTGACTGGCCGTACCAAACTCTTGTTGTGAATTGTCTCGGCATGCTGGCCTCGCGGTGCCGTCTCCACTGCGATTATGACGGGCACTGGTAAAGTGAGATTGAGCGATCTGAAGGGCCGAGTTCACTACAAAAGCCGTCACCTTGATCTTCCTTCGGGTACACATCATGTATGGTCTTGTAAACGTTGCGCGGTTGACATTTCCATCGCTGTCTCGCCAGATGAATAGGTTCAAGAGCTTTGGTATGTTGTAGGTGCGTGTCCGTAGAGAGCCACAGGAAGTTAACGTATACTAGCACGTCATCGGGGTTCGAGGCAGTCGGCGCTTTATTCTTCTTCGGCACTGGAGAAGACACGTGCTTCAACCACGTGTTGCAGTCCGCACGCTGGAAAAGGCAAGTCAGGCTCTGGCCTGCTGCAGTAGGGAACTTGAACTAGTGTGGCACACGTACAGCTTTCTTGTTATGGATGACTTTCTGAGCGAGTTCATCCTGCCACTCCTTCGTACGCGCGGGATTCCAACGTCTTGTCTCCGCTCTTCTCCTAGCAAACGCTGAATGGACGGGTTCGAGGGCGAGCGATGTAGCTAAGGAGCTCGGAAGGGAGACGGAGGTTTCTGACATATACACATCCAAGCAGAGTGCAGATGGCCGTACTTCAGATGGTCGTGGTTGGTGGCAAGCTCCTTTGTGAGAGTTTGCTGTTGTATGATGCGCTTCTGGGATGGGAAATACCCAGCACATTCAGGAACGAGGTTCACAGTCCGAACCGCTCACTCAAACTGGTAATGGGCGCAGATTATGATGATACTGGTTCTTCGCATCTTGCAAGCCAGGAGTTAAAGAGAGCGTATATGGTATCCGCAATATCTCACTCATCAAACCCAGTCGGGTTGAGTGGCAGCAGTTCTCATAGCTCTCAACCGGGTTCAAGTGAAGTGCTCCTATGCGCGCTCTATGCTATACGCTACGACAACTCTTATTTTGCCAGCGCGGCCTGGATAGCCTCGTACACATCCGCCTCAATGCGTGCCTCCGCCTTGACCTCATCCGAACCGTTACCCGCAAGAACCTTGTTCGCCTCGGCGAGGTTCGCACGTACGGCCTATCCAACTGTCAGTACACCGAAGTTGTGGCTGGAAAGAAAATACGCACCTCGGACGAGAAGTTCTCGAGGGGAGCGGCCTCGACGGCGTTGATGGTCAACGAGTTGTTCGGGTGGACCATGGCGAAACCGCCAGAAACTACAAGGCAGCCTCAGTACACGTTGGATACAACATTTGGAATATTACGCACCGAACCACTTCTTTGCGGCGTTTCCGGGCTCGATGACCTCCACAATGCCGGCACGGAGAGGCTCGATGGACGGGACGTGGTTTGCGAGGATACCCATGTCACCGGACGCAGCAGCAATGTTAACCTGCACAACCTCCTGCGACGTGAAGATAGACTGGATACGGGTTGCCCATCATAGTTCGGTAGTTGAATGGCCAAGTAGAGTAGTTGGTTATTCCGCCATGAGCACAAGTCCGAAATATGGGATTGAATACACGTACCTGGTGCGGGAGGACTAGGGAGAGCTTGATCTTGTCGGAGACCTCCGCGTAGCCACGACGGCCAGTGGGGAGGGCCCGGGGCGCGCGCCGCGCTGCGAGACGGAGAAGGGAAGACATGGGGAAGGTGGTGGACGTGCAGCGCTCGCCAACAACGCGCCTGTTCGCTCGCTCCCTCGGGTGACGCCGGGCTCTCACGATTTTCCGATGCCGAAGCGCGGGGCTGAAGCTGAACGTACTCCCCCTTCCACCACGACAACGATCATTTGTAGAGCTCATAAATTATGCATCGTACTGCATCTCACATGCCCTTTGCGATGACATGTCAGTGGCAACAACTGTCTCTCTCAAACCTGTGTACGCTCGCACCAGCCGAAGTCAAAACGACTATCCGATCTTCGTTGTGTTGCCCCCTCCCTCCCATACACTTCGCACTGGTCCGAAACAACTATTCAATGAATCACGATACGGGCGTCCTTCCCTGCGGTGCGGTGCTCACTGAAGACAGTCCAGCAGCTTCAAGCGGTTACGGGCGCGCAGCGCTGTATCCCGAATGGTGATCCTATCGCAAAAGAGCGGGAGAACGCGAGCTCGGCGCCTACTCATTCGGTCAATGAAACGTTCCTTCACAGCGCATCTGTCAAAGTCCTTCCGCATGCCCCGCGATGGTCTGTTGGGCGAGATGATCACGAAGTTGCGTGTATATATGCTGGTCACCGCCCTTGGTGTGGGGCCTTTTCTCTCAGCCCCGACCGATACGTTCCCTATCTAGATTGTATTCTGTGGCGAGTAACTTGAACAAGTCCTGCAGGATGTTCGCGCTCGCTGCATACTCGCTTATATGTCTAGCGCTCGCTGCTATGTCTGCTGCGCAGACACAGTCTTTCACACCTGCAGCTATTCCAATCGCAGCGCGCTCTCCTTATCTTCTGACATTCCTCAAAACGGCGCCCTCAGTGCAATACTCCAGGACATGGCAGACCGGGTACTCAACACAGGTGCGTGCCCTGCGTCACGTTATGTCATCCTCGTATTAATGGATGAGGCAGATCCAAGCTTGGGCGGGACTCATCCGAGTAGACGGGAAGACGTACGCCTGGACAGGAGATATAGGAACCATGCCCGCAGGAATCTTAGACCCAGCCTCAACCGGGAACGTGCAGTCATTGACTCCGACAACTACGGTGCTCTTTTATCAGGCTGGGCCCGTGCAATTGACGGTCACCTTTCTGAGTCCTATCGAAGTGAGTGGGTGTTGTTATTTGTCAGCCAGACCGTTCTCAAGCTCGTACAAAGCCAGGCAACATGGTCAACCAGTCGATTCCCGCGTCGTATGTGGCACTCGATATACAAACAACAGATGGATCTCCGCACTCAATCCAAGTGTACACCGACATTACCGCTGGTGAGCGCTTGTTGCGTCTTGTATCCATATTCTCATTAATTTCGAATTGTAGAGTGGGTGTCAGGAGACCGTAGTCAGAACGTAACCTGGTCCACCAACACTAATAATCCGTCCATGATATATCATACCGTCTCTGCTCTGAACCAAGTGCCGTATCAGGAAGTCAAGGCACAGGCGGCGTGGGGAAACGTATACTACGCGTCGCTCCGGACAACCAACACGACGTACAGGACGGGTGGCGACTTGGCCACCCGCAGTCAGTTCGTGACGAATGGCACCCTCGACAATACGCAAGACACGGCGTTTCGCGGTATTACAGAGTACGTCCACCATCTGCTTTCGTAGACTGGATACGTACTGACGGCAACCCACAGCTCATTCCCCGTATTCGCTTTTGCCGAAGACCTCGGAACCATCCAGAGAACGTCAGCGCCGCTCGCATGGGCCGTCGCTAACGTCCGAGACGTCAACAGTACTGGAGCCCTGAAGTATACCGATCTTTCACAGCAAACGCAAACGCGCAGCCTCTACTATCGAAGCCAGTACACTGACGACGGATCGCTGGTGAGGAACGAGGCTTACGTCGACGAACTTGATGTTCTAACACTGCCCTAGCTCGATAGCCTCCTCGCTGATTTCCCGGCCGCGCTCAATCGCTCTCAAGCCCTGGATAAGAACATCACGGATGCGGCTAACGCGGTGGGAGGTTCGGACTACGCAGACATACTGGCGTTGGCTACCCGTCAGGCCTATTGCGGTATCGAGATCACGATTGGGCGCGATAACAGCGGTGCAGTGAATGCGAGCGATGTCATGGCATTCTACAAAGTGAGTCTCGATGGAGATACCGGTTTCCTATGAGACTCACTCATCTCCTAGGACACCGGATATCAAGACAATGGTGACGGAAAGTGAGATGGTCGCTCGTCATCAATCAGCCGTTGCTCAGATCAGCTCTGTAGCGCTCAAGTTAGTCCAGTCGATGGACTCATCAGCGTCTTTCCTGCGTTTCTATATCTTGATCCTGCGCTGTGTGCGGCGCTTCTCGAGCCGCTCTTCCGCTTTCAGGAGAGCCCCTCATACGGCAATCCCTATGCGGCTGCCAATCTTGGTGAGCAAGACCATGCGG